GATAAAGTAAGGCAGGGGGCAGGGGGAAGAAGTTATGTAATACAAGGTTATAAACAAAAGTAAGAACAACAGAAAGCAGCCAAAGATAGAAGAAGCTAGAGGGTAAATTGAACAGAGCGAAGGGGGAATGTGAAGGGTGGTTAAAGAAATGCAGTGCAGCCAATTGTGATAACGCACACAGCTGTGATTCCAAAATGAAGGACAAAATATGGGGGTTTGGTTGAGCTTAAAAAAAGAAAATGCTAGAATGTCAATGGGGAATATTTGAAATAAGACTAATGTATGGTGCTGGTTCCTCCTCAGGGAAAAAAGATATGAAAGATCAGAAAGGAAAGAGGGCAGTGGGAGAGTTATTTGGGTTCAGGCTCGTCCAAATTCCGCTTGTGTCTGTGCCTAGAAAGCATGAGTCCAAGCAGTTTTCCATTTGTCCTGGCAGTTTCCCCAGGAAAACCCACTCTTTATCACTAAATCAGAGGTATCTCCTCCTTAGCCACGATCAGCTCATGGTTAGTGAAGAAGGAGCTTAAACATGGTCCTGGGTTCAGATGACATGCTAAGCCAAATCTTGGCTTATCTGCCAGTCTGTACTGACCTAAAAGGACCAGGGAGGAGCAAAACAGGTGCAAGCTCCTGTCCAGGAACGAGCAGGTCTTGGTAAGCCATGGTTTTGCTTACCATGGCATGCAAAACTGTCCATTGTTTTCAAGAGGGAAAATTGGAGCTTGGCCCTGCCAAGATTCTGAACCCTCCCAATGCTGAAAGCCATGGTCCAGTCTTTGTCCTGTCACCCACAATAATATCAACACATTTCCAGTGCCCAATAGGCTTCTGTCCACCTTCTCTGCTTGGCCAGTCACAAAATTCACTAGCAATAAATGCCTCCTCTGCCTCCAATGAGAAGGGAGTTTTTTCATTTTATTTATTTTTTAACCAGGCATACAAAGAGGGAGGGAGGATTCCTATCTCATTCTCCATGCTTCTCTCTTTCTCCCCCATGCCAGATCTGAAAAGAGAAGGCTTAAGTTTCCAAGCTGGTGGGAGGAGGGAAGAGGAGTCTAGTGGGGCAGTTCTTGTATAGCCCCAGAAACAGGGTCCAAGCTGTTTGCACTTTTGAGTGTGCACAGTTTCATTAATTGCCTCCCCCACTGTGTGTGAGAGAGTGAGTGAGTGAAGGATTTTTGTCTAGGCACCTTGACTGGGGCAGACAGTGGAGAAAGTTTTATTGTAAACACTTTGCTTTTTTTTCTTTTAAAAAAAACAACAACCCACAGGTGAGAGAAATGAGTGAGAGAAATTCATGCAAGAGCCCAGATTTCTTCTTTTGCTAAAATGGTTGTGAAAAAGGTGGGCCTTTGCTTACTTAAAGAACCTGTTTTTTATTTTTTTTTTGGATGGGGGAGAATTTTGGAGGCAAATTGCAAGCTATCCTATACCATTTTCTTCACTTTTTAAAAGCTTTTTTTAAAAAAAATTGTGTTTTGACTGTTTAACTAATCCTTCTCAAGAGAAAACCCATTGCAATTGATGAACCTAAGTGAATCATATCCACTATCTTTAATCAGCTTAATGTGAGTAGAATTAGCATTGCATACCACCCCTTATGCCAGAATAGATGTGTGTTGATAATTGGTGGGAGGCAGATTGTTCTGGGGCTTCTGTTGAAATGAGAGGGCAGGGTGTCTTGCCCAATGTTTCTGTTGTTCTCTTATATTCTTTGCACAATATCCTGTTTCCTCTGAATATCAGCAGCAGCAGAATTGGACTAGTGGGGTTAGAAATGCAGCCCAAGTGTATGTGTGTTTGTGTGTTGCTCCTTTCGTCATTTACTTTGGAGGAGATGTTGTTACCAATATCATCGCAGTGGTAGGGTTTCAGATTGCAGCCTGTGTTTTTGGATGCTTATCGTTATCCTAGCATAATGTTATGAGTTTGTGGGTGCCAGACACCCCTAATCCCAGCAAGTGTTAAAATCCAATCATAGCTGATTAAACCAGGTTCAGGTTGTTTATATACATATAAATAAAATATACTGTTAGCATCAGTTCGACCCAACTTGCTTTGTTGAAGTCTGTTAACGCATGGAGAGGTTAACAAGAGAAGAAGCGCTTCCTTAGATATTCTGGGCCCAGGCCATTTAGCACCTTAAAACCAAGCACCTTGAACTCTGCCATAAATTAACTTGCCACCAGTGGGATGCCTTAGGAACTGGCTCAGGGGTCAGCAACTTTTTTCAGCCGTGGGCTGGTCCACTGTCCCTCAGACCATGTCGTGGGCCAGACTATATTTTTTTGGGGGGGAGGAAAGAACGAATTCCTGTGCCCCACAAATAACCCAGAGATGCATTTTAAATAAAAACACATGGTCTTTTTTTTAAAAAAACTTTTTTTATTCGAAATTAAAGCAAAACTTATCCAGAAACATATCATCCTTATTTCCCCAGTCTGTAAATTTTAAATCAGTTTCCATAATTTTTCCCAATCTTCCATCATAATGTTGTGACCTACATCTTGTGCCCATTTAATAAAAACTGATTTTACCTCTTCATCTTTCGTCTCCCATTCTAATAGTATGCTGTATGCGGCCTTCAGTAATTTTACTTTCCCTTCAATCACTTCGGTTTGAAACCTAGATCTTGTATAACTGAATCCTTTCTTGCTGTCTTCTTTATGTGTTTCATATAGTTGTGGATAATGCAACCAACTCTGAAAGCACACCAGGCAGGCCCCACAAATAACCCAGAGATGCATTTTAAATAAAAGGACACATTCTACACACTGATTCCCAGACCGTCCATGAGCCGGATTGAGAAGGCAATTGGGCCGCATCTGGCCCCAGGGCCTTAGGTTGCCTACCCCTGAACTAGCTTAACAACTCTCCAGGTATTAAGTCTGGCTGGTAATATGGCTGCTACATAGCAGATCCACTGAAGCTTCCAAATGGTCTTTAAAAGTAGTGTTACATTGAGTACATTGCAGTGATTAATTCATACTGAGCTTGTAACCTGCATGGTTATCTGCTCCCTATCATGTACTGTTTCCCAAATCTACCCCTGCACTCTAATATAAACTTGTGATGGAAGGGTCTGCAGATTATCAGAATTAATTATATTGGCTAGATGAATCCTGTATTGCAGAAGAGAATGGTCCTGCCCATAGCCACCACTTAAGCATCTGGGACCAATGCCAAGTCCAGAAACAACCCTGCTTCTTATATAATCATGACAGTAACAAAACAGATCAGTCTCCTATCATTACATAATGCATACCCTCTACTTATTTTATTTATGACTTTTGTTTGCCATCCCATACTATAAAGTTCTCTGGGAGGCATACAATAAATAAGGTGTCTTTTAACCTCGTGCCAGAAGCTTAATAAAGTGTTCAGCATCCATACCACTTCCCCAGTTGATATTGTCAACCCCATCCCTGAAAAAAAACCTTGTCTTTTCTCCTGAGAGAAGCTGTTTGCCATCTGGAACACTACATGGGAGAATTAAGAAAGCTGTTGCTCCCGATGCAATTTTGCCTCACCTCCTCTCTGTCACCTCTGTGTTAAAACTTTATTATTATTATTATTATTATTATTATTATTATTATTAAATAGGCTATCTATCTCATCATGAATCTTCCACAACTAGAGTTGTTTGTCCAACAGTAGTGTGGCAAAAACCCAGAGTGTCCATGCTAATGTTTCATATTCCAGAACTCCCCCCCCCCCCAGAATGTAGCGTCAAACCTGTTGCGTGCAAGCTAGTTGGGCAAGTGCCACTGAGCATCAGCAGAGTGCTTTCCCCTTTAGCACTTGGGCTCTGGTAACAATCTCTCCCAGATCTGGGGCGTTTATAGCCACATTTGAAAACAACAATGAATGCAATCTGTATTTGTTTGTCATGAGTTAGGAATGTTAGTATTCCAATCTTGCCACCTCTGTGCTAGTCAAGGTCATCCAAAGTATTATGCCATTCTCATTCAATGTGCACCCCAGTCCCAGGCATCTTTACGGAGAAGCAAAGTGAGTTCAGTGGACTTACTCCACAGTCACTACGTGCAAGGGATGGAAGCTTGGAGTGTTTTTAGGGTTCAAGTCTGTTATCCCTGCAGTGGCACAGGATTAAGACCTTGGTTCATGGAATCTAGTAATATATTATGTGAATCATAACATACCTGTTTTTTTTAGGCAAGCTGTTGTCTATTTCCAAATGGAAACAATAAGGAGCAGGGGCACCAACTTGAATAAAACATTGGTCTGGTCTAGGTAAGCCCTACCCTACATAATGGATCACATGATGCAGCACACGCACGCACACACTTGAATGGCAATGCCCATCAATTTGGAGGGGGGCAGCCCCCTCAAATATTTCATTGGGGGCCAAAGGGATCTCTGCTCCTAGGAATTGGCTCCTGTGGTAAGGAATGTGGCTAAAGTAGCAGGTAGTTTGTGGGCCTAAATATGGAAATTTCTAGTGGCATCAAAATGGAATATTGATTGAGGCACATATAAAAACCATTATGTAAAATCCCGAAGATGCATATGGATGTTGCATTTATAAGCATACTTAGCAGTAGATGGTAGAGCATGTGCTTTGCCTGCAGTAGGTCCGGGGGTTCAGTCCCTGGTAGGGCTGGGCAAGATTCCCTGCCTGGAAACCAGGCTGCCGGTCACTGTGCAAAATACCAATCAAGATGGATCAATGGGGCTGACTCGATAGAAGCCAGCTTGCTGTGCTCCTTTCTGAGCTCCCTGATCGGCCTCACTCGGTGCATAACGGGATTCACAATGCAGCTTGGGCAACCAGAGCCTGCCTTGAAGAGCTGCGATTGCCGAGAATCCGAGTCGCTCTAGGACCCAGCAGCCACTTCCCCTTGCCTCTGTCACATCACATACTGCATTGCTATTAGTGCACATTGGCCGGGTTGCAGCCGCCGCCTGCTCCTCCTGTTGGATTCTCTGCGCTTGGCTTCCGAAGAGGTTGCCGGCACAGGAAAGGAAGGGGGCGAGGAGGGGAAGCCTGTTTCCTTTTGCTTTCCTTTATTTATTTTCCTCCAGCACGGCGGCACCGCCGCACCCCTCTTAAGAGCCTTACGCTACAGGGCGGCGCTGTTTTATCGCCCGGGAGATCAGCCCGGCTACGGCTGCCGGCGGGGTTGTGCATGCGCCTTCGCGGGCGCGCGGATGCATTTGGAGCAGGAGCAGCAGCGGCGGCGGCAGGAGGGATTTGGATAGCTTAGGCGCCCTGCAGAAAGGCGTCCTCTTTGTGGGTGGGCTCTCCCCCCTCCCTTAGCGCATCGTATTTAGTTGGGGATTCTGGAGAGGGGGGCGGGGGCGCGCTGGCCCCGAGCGGAACAGACGTGCCGTCGTGCCCACCTCCCTCTCCTCAGTAGCTCCGAGCGGAGTGACTGAGGGGCGGGGGACGCGGCCAGCGGCGTCCTCTCTCTCTCCCCCCCCCCGCCTCCCAGCACCGCTTTTCCCCAGGCGGGCGCACGCCTAAGGCTGAATGGAAGCAGCCTGGAGGCTTGGCGGCCTCTCAGCGGCTCATGACGGGCGTCCCCGAGGCGGGAGGTGCTGAGCAGGGGCTCTGCGAGAGGGCGCGAGGGATGCGTGGTGGTGCCTGCGCGCGCGTGACTTAAGAGGGCGACCTGCTGCCTCTCCTCTCTCCCCCTCCCGCCCCTCATGGGCACGGAGTCCCCGGCACAGCTTGGCGCTACTACAGCTACAGCTGCTGCTGCTCCTGCTTGGATGAAGACGGCTGCTTCCTCCTAACGCCCAGCCTCTGAGGGACCGCAGTCTCCCGCCCTCTTTTTTTTTTTTGGCGGGATGCTGAGGTAAAGGATCCCCTCGCGCGCGTGCGGAGGCTTAAGGTGGGGAGTGGAGGGGGTGTCGCTTGCGAGGGGAGGGTTTATATTGTACTGGGCTGCGGTGTGGGCGACACGGCTCTCCAATGGCCAGCCCGCGGAGGAACATTGAGTTGGAGCATTTCGAGGAGAGGGACAAAAGGCAGCAGCGCTCGAGCTCCCGCCGCGGCGGAGGGGGCAGCTCCACTTGCAGCAGCAGCTCGGGCCCCAAAGGGAACGGGCTCATCCCCAGCCCCGCGCACAGCGCCCACTGCAGCTTCTACCGCACGCGCACCTTGCAGGCCCTCAGCTCCGAGAAGAAGGCGAAGAAGGCGCGCTTCTACCGCAATGGAGACAAGTACTTCAAGGGCTTGGTCTACCCCATCTCCAGCGACCGCTTCCGCTCCTTCGACGCCCTCCTGGTCGAGCTCACCAGGTCTCTGTCGGACAATGTCAACCTTCCCCAGGGCGTCCGCACCATCTACACCATCGACGGCAGCCGGAAACTCTCCAACCTGGACGAGCTGGTGGACGGTAAGCAGGAGCACGAAACACCTGCGCCCAAGTGGGGCGGGGAAGACCTACTCGATCGTCAGGGGGCGTTTTCACAAGTGTCTCCAACAGATCTCTTGCTGTTACCCACGATTTCTGGATGATGTCACCCTGTTCCAGCTGATGCTCATTTGCCTCTGTTAATGAGCGAGGCTGCTCTCTGGCTCAGAGGTTCCCATGCTTGCACACACCCACTCGATCTGGATAGGCACTCCTGCTCTTGAATGGCCTGGCATGTATGCAGCTATAAATGGTCATCAGGTGATCTGCAGCAGGCTCCTTAGCTGAGAAGGCATAAAAGAGCTGAAAAATAACCCCACCTTTCCCATACAGCACTCCCTTGATCTAAAATTTGAATGCCTGTGTGTTTAAAAGGTCACCAGAGCAATGCAGGTGTGTGTAGAGATGGAGAAAAACGAGCTTAGTATCACTTGTGAAAACAGCTGGGGTCTAAAAAAAAACAAGTGTTGGAAATCTCGTGTATGGTTTATGTATATATGCATAGTATAGTCAACATTACTAGTTTTGCATGTTGCACAAATAGTAATTGCAGGCTTCAAAGCAAATTAAATTTCAGAATTAACTGCTGATCCCTAAACTCATTCCCTTCCAGTACCATCATTTATTTTTTCTCATTTTTATTTACACACAGTGCACATTGGACCTTTTTAAAGGACCGATACAAGTAGATACATATTGTTTTAGGAAAGCTTGTTGAGCAAGAGGCTACAAATGTATATGAAATATATTTGGTGATGGGCAGGGAAAGGTCATTGTAATTCTATGTAGCATGAAGTAGGTAAAATGGTTATTTGGTACCTCATTCTCATTTTGCTACTTTGTATATGGAACTGCAAAACATAGCAAAAACATATGGATGCCTTGTTTATATTCTGGTTCCAAAGGGAATTAGGAAGGTAATGTCCAATTTATATACGGAGTCCAAAGCTACACACTTGTATGTTGATCCTTGCAGTACATTTATGCAGCTTTCTATATACCCATAAGGCTTCCCATGTATGAAACCAATGACATCAAAACTGACCATTACTGTGCAAATCAAATATGCAAGCTTTTGGCCTAGGCAAGATTCTTCTTCTGGAAAGTATGCTCAAGGGCCTCATGCACTGTATAGAATAAAGGCTTTCAGATTTAAAACTAAACAACACCTGGAATTGGTGAACTAAAAGTCAGTATCAAATTATCTTGTACCAGTTTGGCAGCGACATTGTTAGTTTATCATTGTTGATGACTCAGTTGCCATAGTACTCTGTAAAGTGCACATCTCCTATTTTATAGCTATTAGAGATTGAGCTGCTACAGCTATGTTTTTTACAATATGATTATAAATAAATATAATTATAATATAATTTTAAAGTATGATTCTGACATGCCCAAATAAGGATGCAGGCAATGGACATGCAATCCACCTCTATGTTCCTCAGGTCCTTAACTATGAATAATTTTTGGATTTCAAAGTAGGGCTTTTTTCTCATCATGTTGCCCATATAACTTCATTGTAGTCCATTGGTCAGAAAAATGGACAGCAGTCTGTTGGTGCTTGCATCTATCAATTAAAGGGCAACAGCATGGCCATGGGGGAGATGGGCTGCAGAACTATGACCTACTCAAAAGTACAGTGATGGCCAATGGGGGTCCCTGGCCGTCTGTTTGACAAACACTGCTCTAATGTAACTGAGTAAGCAGTCTGCATAACTATGGTGAAAGGCGGTGTGTTTGGAGATTTATAAAGGGAAATCAGATGCAAGTGACAAGATTGCTGCCTAATAACTGGAAAGGTCCGCCTACTCTTCAATTCTTGAACTCCTACATCATTCTCTTCCTTTCTTGCTTTTGCTGAGCTCTCACCTTGGAAGCTTGCTCAAACAAACACTATACAGGTATTTCTTTGCTTGAACAATTGGCTAGTAAAACATTTTGTTTCAACTCTAGAAATGACAGTCAGAATTTTGATTGTGTTCCAAGAGCCTTTATAATTTGGGAAGACTTTTTAAAAAAAAAATGCAATCCCATGCATGGTTACTCAAAAGTAAGACCCACTAAGACCAATGTAATTGTATTTAGGATTGTGGTCTTAGCGCATTACTAAAGGTAGATTACCCTTTCTGCATGGGGGATTTTACTCTTACTTATGAGGAATGACTACAAAACTTAAAAACTAACCAATTTATTATGGCATAAATTTTAGTGGACTGCACTCTTTTTCATCAGACGCATGAAGTGTTACCTTGAGTCAAAGAGGTGTGTGTAGATCTATCAGATGGGGTCAGCTGAGCTGAGTAGTTAATGTGTGTAATCGGGGGATGTGTACATTAATCATGCCACGTGGAGAATGTACAAATAGTCTGTCCATTAAAAGTAAATTATGCACATTTCCCAGTCAATATACACAGTCTCCAACAGGCCTTGGGGAATGTGCATAATGTGAGAGCATTTTGTGCATTCTCTGGGCAATATGCTCATTCGCCAGTCAAGATATATACTCTTCAAGAAGCATGCTGTTTGCTCATATACAGTCATATACAGTCTGGATATAGATGGATGCTCTGTTCGTGTGTATATGTATATATACACACACATGCATGCATGCACGCTAGGGGCTGTGCCCCTACTCTCTCTTATTCCCCCGCCACTCCTTCCACATTAACCCCCTAGAGCCTCCCCTTTTGACTCCATGCAACTACTGAGCTCCCTTTTCACCTTCCCAACCCCATTCTGCAGCCCCCTTTGCACAAACACCATTATCACATCCATCCCCTTTTACCCACCTACGTCCTCCTTCCTTTTTAAACTTTCCCTTGCACTTGGTCCACCCCGTACTCCTTTTCTGTAGCAGCCCTTTACACACACACACACCCTGGAGCGATACATGTCACTGTATCTTTAAGATGAACAGAATATCGAAAGCAAGCCTGTCAACTGACTTGTTCAAGTAGAGAAGGCCGAGTTCAGTTGTTGGATGTTGTTCCTAGATGAGTGTGTTTGTTAAAAACTTCATATTGAATATGACACATAATACCAGGAGTAAAATACAATGCGTGAAATTGTATTTCTACTGTCGTTTTAAGCCATCACTTTCCCCTTCTCAGTGACCCTCGCTTCTTACTCCTATTCCACAGCCTCTGCTGTTGTTCCAACACACCTTCTCTCTCGCTTCCCTACCCCGCCCCAACTTCATGCAAATTGAGGGTTGTGATGAGGTATGACAAATCCTCCAATGGAGACTACACTCTTGACTACATGCAAATCAAGGATTGTGATGCAGCACTACAAATCCTCCAGTGCAGTTACATTTTTATTATGTGTAAGATGTATGAGCAAGTGCGTGTAAACGGAGTCCCACTATGAATGCAGATGTGACTGTATCTGCAACCCTGTTTCTTTTTCATCACTGCTTAGAAGGAGAGAGGAGGGTCAAATCTTTCCCCACCTCTCTCAGCAGGAACAGCTGCACAATGTTTTAGGTCAGCAGGAAGGCACACTACGAGTAACACAGAGTTAGATGGTTGACTGCCTTCCAGCAACAGGTTGCCTACTTCTGAGTAGGGCTGGGCGATATTTCAATATATCATCCAAAACTGGTTTGAAGTTCACATCGTGCTAATTGTTTCATAATATTTGAGCTGGCAATATATCGCGAATCACAATGTGTGTAAGGGCTAGGTGATATCTGGTTTCCAACATCAAAATAACTCACCAGCTAAAGTTTGCGATAACCCACCAACTAAACACTGCAATGTTATCAGCAGCTAAACCTCACAATATTACCAGCTAAATATTGCAATCAACCACAATGTCAGAAATAAGGATGAAGCTATACAGAGGCGAACAGGACAATGTCCTGGCAACTGCTACTACTTAGGGGTCTAAATGGATAAATGACAATATTATTAATCATCACACACTCAGTTTCATCAGCAGGCAAGTAAAAATGCATCCCAAGAGGACTTTTGGTTTTGAGCTTGGCTACCAAATGGTGGTATTCAGGACAGTCCAAAGTACGGAGACGAGTCATAGTGAATACAAATAATCTGGGACTGCCAGACTGCCAGCAGCCCTGCTAGGTAGCAGAAGCAGCTTGGCGGCAGCAGAATCAACAATGGCCAGGGTGGGAGGCAGAAGCAGTAGCAGCCTGGCAGCAGTGGCACAATAATCAGCAGCCTGTGAAGCCTTGCCACAGCAGTGGGCGGCGGCAGAAGCAGCAGCAGCCTAAGAGGCCTTGTCTTGGTGGTGGCTTACAAGGCCCTGTGGTAGTGGCAAAAGCAGTGACAGCCTGCAAGGCCTTGTAATGGTGTTGTCAGTAGTGGTGGCCTGTGCGGCCTTGCGATGGTGGCAGGTACTTTGTCCTCAATACCACCATTTGGTAGCTAAGCCCGAAACCAAAAGTCACATTTGGATGCATTTTGGCTTGCCTGCTGCTGAAAGTGACCACAAGATGATTGATAATATCATCATTTATCAGTTTTAGACCCTTAAGTAGTAGCGGTTGCCAGGACATTGTCCTGTTCACCTCTGTGTAGTTCCTTCCTTATTTCAGATATCGTGATATATTGCAATGTTGAAAACCAGCCCTACTTCTGAGCTAGAGATAGAAGCAAAGGGTGCATTTCTTGAAAATAATATGCACATTCTTCAACAATAGTTGCGGAACATGTATATTGACAATAAAACATGCATAATTTTCTCCTCATGGACAGATTATGTCGCATTCCATGAGGTGTACTGAATGTACACAATGACCATTTGTAAGGCACATTAACCACTCAACTCACATCTAATCTAATGTACATATTTATCTGCAAATAGAATATTTGCAATAAAAGTACCTTCCTTTATATTTTACTCTAATGGTTGCAATGGTAAAGCAATCACTTCGTCTTTTTTATAGTTAACTTTAACATGTTGCAATTGGATATTGTCATAATAAGTTGAATAGGTTAGAAAGAATGTGCAACAATGCCTTTTCATTCCAGATACTGTGATCCTCACTTCCTACGTGGATTGTTAGTGATTTTCTTTATATGCAGATTTTGATTCAACTTCTACTCTTGTATCCTATCCCTAAGTGGTTCTTTTGGGCAAAGGGGCAATTTCCCAAGTTATGAGATATCTCTGATAACCTAAGAAGATGCCATGTTGATTTCATGTCTCAGTCTTTATTCACTAGTACTATGATCTGCCAATATACTTGGCATCTGTAGAGACACCAAATGCATGGATGAACGCCATTAAAAACAGGCATATTGATAAGCCATATGGGGAAATTTCTTTTCTCTAATGAGTAGTAGTACTATGAAGCATTATTTCATATTTTAACAAGAAAAGGTTGCTCTGATACTCATTAGTCAAGAGGAGGGTGGGAAAAAACTTTGAGACCAATTAAATACTTACTATTAGACTGACAGATTTGGCATATTGTCACGCACAACTTGTGCACATCATTAATTCATATTCAGATATAATGTGCGCTGCTTTGTTGGTCACAAACAGCTTTCAATCTTGTTAAAATGACTGGACACTAGTTTAAACTGTCATGAATCTGTCTTCTAACTGGTGAAAAGACATGATAACCTCCTTAAAAAGAAACCAGCAGTTGAATTGCCTCTGAAGTAACAAATAAGGTAGTAACAGTTTGACTATTATACTCTTTGAATGTGGGAGCTTAGTTGTAAGTTTCATGTAGGGTATTATCTTGGGGTGATCAAGAAAAAAATACATATGAGCAAAATTAGTGCTATTTTCTAGGAACATTCTCTTGCATCCTGCAAACTCAGAAAGCATGAAATCTTAAAAACATTTGTATCCTGTAGGAAAACTAAATTTCAGTATATGTTTTGATACATAATTCCTAGTCTAAGGTAGGAAATCTTTTGACTGTCCTTAAAGCTTCACTGCTCAGACAGGTGTATCTCTTGGGGTACTGAAAATAGAAAGGGAACTTGGAGAGCTGTGAAAGCAGAACTGCTGCAGTCAACACTGCAACAGTCTCAGAAATCAATAAAAACTGTTATTGTAGCTTTCAATAGGAAACACTAGCTGTTTTTCTGGGGGGGGGGCGGGGAGAGCTGTTTCTAATGAGTTCTACAGTGTAGATAATGGCAGTGCAAGGGCTTGTATCTTGTAGCATCTGATAAAGTGGGAAAAGTTCATGCCATCATTACATATCTTGAGGTGCCAGGCAACAACATTTCCCATCAGGCTTTTAATTTTTTGCGGCCTCCTTGAAGGAGAGGAATGCTTTAATCCCACCTTCTACAAACATGATTGCCTTCAATATTATTTTTGTTTTGTTTAGTTTTATGTATGTGCTTGTTGCTTTGCTGTTGTAAGCCACTTTGAGCTGCTTTTGTAAGAAAAGCAACTAATAAGTTTAATAAATAAATAATTTATCAGTCCTTAAAATGCTACAGGAGTCTCTTGCTTCTGTTTTAAGGATGATTCTAACCCTGATAACTAAGTAGTGTACTGACTCATACTGGTTGACCCATAGGTCTAATCCAGTATACTTTTCTTATGTTCTTGTTAGAAACAGTCTACTTACAGAGAGAAAAAGAAGTATGTTAGTACTTCTGTTGGTTGACTAGGGAAAAATGTAATCATGTTAATATGGCAAAGCAAAACATCTTTACATTTCTGCAGCGAGTGGCATTGAGGACTACAATGATGCTATGGTCTATGCATAATATGCATATTATTAATTGTTGTTGCTGCTGTTGCTACTGCTGCAGCTGCAGCTGTTGTTGTTGCTGTTGTTGTTAAAGCTTTCTGCTTAGGGTAGCTTGGCCATTTAATAAATCTTAAAGAAACTCAAGAGAGAAAACAAAGAGATGAGCAGGCAAGATGTTTAAGGAGAAATGTGTGTTCCTGTTCCTTAAATCTTGTACAATATAGGAGTTTGATTGTTAAGCGATTGAAGTGGCTTCTTTAAGCAGAAGGAACTCATTGTATAAGCACAGCCTGAAGCTTTAGAAATGACAATGAGATGATGAAAGTGGGATGATATATGTTTCAAATTTTATTTTTTTTTTACTTCAGATGGTGTTTCCAGAAGTATTGTGTATGTTTCTCTAGACTACTTAACATCCTCATGTGCTGGCATATTATGATGAGGCACCATGTTACTAAAGATGGAAACCAGCAAGAATAACTAGTTGACATTCTGCTCAATTTAAAACAGGTCTGAATAGAGTCATGTCTTGCTAATGTTGAGGGTCAGTCTTTTGTATGTGCACGATTTATATTGGGAGTGAAGTGCAAGGTTTGTTTCAAAGTGGTTGTGTTACTAGAACATTAGCATACCTCCATTGGCAACTTTCGCTCTCTGTCGTAAGATGCTCCTAATGTTTAATTCAGTGGCAGATGGCATCAACAATATTTTTGACAAGAAACTCCTTAGTGTTAGTGACATTAATTTTTGCCTGACGAGTCATATGCAGTATTGTTGAGACACTTGTTTCTGTTTCTCCCTCATTTTCAGAAACCACAATATTTTTGTGCCTTATCTAATCCATGCTCTTTATAGGATGCAATATTGTATGGATGAATAAAAGCCAGCAATGTTCTTGAATATTTATTTTTTTACAATTTCTTTACAGTGGAACTCTGGAATATCTCATGTCACTGAATACAATTCTCTTGGTGCAGGAAAGGGAGTCCATATGTAAATATTCTAATCATAGGGGCAGGTGGTAGGGAAAAAATTGTATAACATCTCAAAATTGATTTATTTGTCTGTAGCTATATCTCTGCATAAAAAGACGTTAGTCAAAAACTGCCATCATCATCCTACATCTTTAGCTGATATATATGCATTGTAAATATCAAACTGTCAACATCTTCATATTTCTGCCAAAATGCTTCAACAGAATGGCAGACACTCCTTCGGGATAGTCTGGCTCGATTCAGATGGTTACTAACAGTGTATTATTAGTACACTACTAGTTCTGTAGTACTCAAACAGTGCTACCTTGGTTTGAGAACAGCTTAGTTTATGAACAACTTGGATTAATAACGCTGTAAACCCAGAAGCAGGTGTTTTGGTTTGTGAACTTTGCCTTGGAAGCAGAACATGTTCAGCTTCCTGTTGAATGTGTTCCATTTGTAAATTGAGTTCCCCACTTTTATGGGAAAGAACACTTTGGTTTAAGAATGAACTTTTGGAACGGATTAAGTTCGTAAACCAAGGTACCACTGTACTTGGTTTTGTCTTGAGCCTTAGTACATATTTGAGTCCATATAATACCCATAGTTGACACTTGAGTATCAAATTTGTGCACTTTACTTATTTAAAGGGGATACATTTGAATATTGTTTGTTTACTTTCTACAAGCATATTGCTACATGTGGCAATTTGGGATATTGTTCACAATAATGATGTAAGTGGATAATGGCTTGCCTAATCTAAAACCTAACTTTTGCAAACACTCATATACAAAAGCTTACTAATTCTCCAGCAAATTGTAAATGTATCTGAGTGGTAGATAGAAAATAATCACTTCATGAGAGATTTTGAAAATGGGAACCGTAAAAAAACTAATATCTAAATAGGTTTGGACTGAGGACCTTTCATCTCCTATTTGAAGATACACTTGTTTATTTGAAATGTATGGCTAAATCATCTGCCATGCTTAAATTTGCCTTGCAAGCCTATAACACATTTCTTAGCATCATTGAACCCAGTGTAACCAATGCATAAAAATATTTCATTAGCAAAAGCATAAATGTTGAGTATAGCCCAAGAGAGAAATTATTTCTGCAAATTGATGTTAGCTTTCTGAGGGGAATTAATAAGTGCAGCATCAGGGTTTTTTGTTTTGTTTTTTGTTCTGAAAGTGAAGAACCTTTGAGATTAAAATCATATGGTTAAAAACCACTGGAACATTTATGCAGACTACAGCATCTACTGTGTAATAAGCTATATAATCAAATTCAATGTTTTTATGTCTACAAGATATATAAAATATGGTCATGAATTAGCAGGTTTCCCTTGGAGCATAACATAATATTTGTGTTCTATAGTATGGGGGCAGGGAAAGAAACCAAATGTTAGCAATTTCCCTTTACAGTATAAACTAACACAGTCACTTGTTTCGGAGGTGATAAAATTGTCGGTGCAATCCTCAGCGCATAGCTACTCAAAAGTAAGTCCCAGGGAACTGGGTATAGGATTGCAGCTTCAGATAGTTATGTCTTTTCATAGTTTACACTTATGTCTGAAATATCAGCCTGGCTTTTTTTCCAAGGTGAAAAGGGCTGCAATCCTGCTTTATGTGATTATCGTAATTTGCACTTCTCTTAACCTGTCCCATGAGGATTTGACTTGCTAGTTTATCCAAGCAAGTCAGCGGTTTACAATGTTTCAGAATTGAAATACTACTAGGAGAGCCTTGCAAATCGAAGGCTCTTAATGCATGTAACTGAAACAAATGTGATAATAAATACAACTGAATAAACCTTATTAAAGTTTTTTCTTCCCATTTTTATCTTATTAATCAGCTTAGTTGCAAATTTTTAAGGTCTCACAGATGCGTGTTCCAAGGTGCTTTCATATAAATAACAGCTAAGTACCATTTGGAAATAAATATAATTAACTGAGTACTCGCTACAATCCATTTAAACTTAAATGCTTGGATTTTTGTAAACTTTGTCCTATAAGCATTAATGGAACCAGTCTGTCTTAAATCCAAGGACTCTGGCTTATAAAATGATGGACAATCATTTCAGCACTCCTTGATTATCACTTTACTTTCTCTACAGGGCCTAGAATGTGTAAAATTCGTCCAAAAGTGCTTTGGCATGCATGGCGTCAAGTAGATTTATGCATCTGAACTATTATTACTGAGAAATTACTACATTTAAACAGTTAAAAAATTGGACAACTTTAATGTCACCCATGCATATTAATCCATTTTAATTAATCTCACCCACAGATACAAAGGATATGTTTGGGGGACTATGCTCAAACCATATAGGATTGCACTGTTCTTAGAAATAAGTATAACTGAGTTCAATGGTGCTTAACCCCACATATGTAGGAATAGGGTTGTGACCTAGATTTTTTGTTACCACTAGTGCTGACTTTCCTTGATAACTCCTTTACATTGTTCAACTATCACTGTAGCTTCGGTAGCAATTGTCTATCATTTGATTGCTAGACTTACAGGGACAGACCTTGGTCTATCAAATTTCAACGGTGGTCTGCATGAAGCCAAAATTTACTTCCTCTCTGCCTCTCACCTTCCGTTTTGCTCAGTTCACTACGCAGTGCTCTACGCAGTTGGCTCCTAGTGCAGTGCAACCACTGGCGGATGAAGGTGGGGGCGGTTCGCCCTGGGTACCATCCGGGGAGGTGACATTGCCCCTGCCCCCGGGACACTCAGCGCTCGTCGTGCACCCCCAACACGTGCCACGCCCTCTGCAGGTGGCGCACCACACCCCCAGGACGCACACCACGCCCCCTGGGACGCATGCCAGCCAAGCCCCTGGATGTACCTGGAGCAGGTAGCTTCGCCACTGAGTGCAACCAGTCAGACTGTCCTAAATCCACCTCTGAGACACTATATCAGTTAATGTAGTGTCAAGTCTGTGGTAGGGTTGTTGATGTACATATTGTTTGGACACTGACAGAGGAAATTAACCGTTAATCCTTTTAGATACCTTAGTAATCTTTCATACTGTTGAACATAAAATATTTTTGAAATGTCAATATGCTTGGCAGATATTTGCCTGACATCTGCTGAGTTGTTCAACATACTTGGCATACAGTTTTCAGAGTGTTTCAGATAGTTATTGCTTAGATTTCTGATAAACTCCTCTTGGGACATTGCCTGCTAAGTGTGTAAGATGGACTGCTGGGTGCAATCTGGAGTCAGGTGATTGTCCTATTGATACCCAACTTTGCTTTTTCTTCTGATTCGGGATGGAAAGATCTGTCAATTTTGATTTTCTCAGTTTCACAGGTACACAATCCTAAACTCAATCATCCACATTTTGTAGCTATTTGTGGGTTTTTTATTTTAAAAAAGAGATTTTTGTATGATATTTTCACTAATAAATTAATTTTTCTGCACATGTTCCCCCTAATATATCTAGTTTTGCAAAACATTGCTCACTGGCCGAACTGCATCACCAAATTTAGATATGTGCAAATTTTGAGGGGTGGCTCTGTTTCGGTTCATACATTGTTTTAGAACGTGCACATTTGATAAGAGTCTGCTCTAAATGTGTACCAAATTGAAATTCTCATTCATCCCTGCTTCTGACAATGTAGTGGCATTTCTGTTCTTATGTAGTTTCAGGATATGTTTGGGGACTGCTAATGACAGAGCTGTTTGAAATGGAAATACACAGTAAATACAGTGATTATGGATATCATGGTCCAAAGAGTCTTCCAAGTCACCTTGACTGCTTTTCCCTCTTGGGATCATTCTGATGTGTTTCTAAATGTTCATTATGTCTCCAGACTCACTAGCAGGGCTTCTCTCTCATTTACACCTTACACTTTTCTTTACTTTCAGTTTGGTAGCATTTATAAGCAGGAGCTTGTGGCCGATGCAAAATACTTGCTATTTTATTATATTATTATTTTATTTTGGTAATGTCAAACATAATGAGTTGAATCCAGACATCATCATCATTTTGAGTAGACCTATAAATCATTGGGATTTAAGTATGAGTAATTTAAGTTGCATTGATTTTCGGTGGTTTTCGCTTTAAGCATAGCTAACTCTGGATCCAATCCATAGAGGTCTGAGCAAAACTTTGTATGTCAAACAAAGGTTTTTGAATAAAAGCAAATCAAGAAAAAGGAGCAACGATTTAAACAAAAACATTAAAAAGATTGCATAAGGAAATTTTAAATTCAGGCACACACAAACGTAAGAGAATACTCTCTAGCACATTCCTGTACAAATTTATTTATAAGTAAGCCTCACCAAATTCAGTGTGACTTGCTCCCAAGTAAATATAGGATTGTATCTTTACAATTGTTTACATTATTCTATGGTAACAAAAATACACAGTTGTACTTCAGATTACATATGCTTCAGGTTACAGACTCCGCTAACCCAGAAATAGTACCTCGGGTTAAGGCCTTTGCTTCAGGATAAGAACAGAAATCCTGCTCCAGCAGTGCAGCAGCAGTGGGAGGCCCCATTAGCTAAAGTGGTGCTTCAGGTTAAGAACAGTTTCAGGTTAAGAATGGACCTCCAGAACAAATTAAGTACTTAACCCAAGGTACCACTGTATGTCTGTATTTTGGGTTGCAAAGCTTGTTGGCAAGATGTGCATGAAACCTGACAGTCCATGTGATGATAATATACATGACAACATCAAATAAAGTGGAACCACCCCTTTATATGTGGAAACGTCTTTTTGAAACATTTTTTTGTGGGTATGGATAATATCTGCAGAATATTTTGAAGCAGTGATTTCACAAGGAGCTAAATTGGTGGCTTATATACTTGGGAGGCCGAGTATGTGAAGCGACTATTTGAGAACATACAGGTTTAGCCAGTGATGTCATAGATATTGACAAAAGCGGAAAAGCTGGAAGGCAAGGCAGCTAAAAGAGGCAATGCATTTATGTATGTAAATAGGAATGAAGTACTACTATGAGAACTAAAAGACAGCTGACAATGCTTACTGCCAAAAAGGTTAAAAATGAATATATAGTGTAAGCATATTTACAATGGAATTGGAAGAACTTTTGACCTTGAATTTGGATAGCTTTATGAGTGACATTGAGCTGGTAGACTTGAAGCACTTCTTGACTAGTTGCTTGCACAGAAGCCCTGTGCAACCTTTTTCACCAGATGCAGAGGTAAATAGTTCTTATGGATGTGGACTTGGCAGCTGTCATTCATATTTCTGTAGCACCTGGGCTTAGCTACTGAATGTGTTGTGTGTAGAACTACCCTTACATGACTGCTAAAAGATGCAGAATGCAGCACTGTAATCTTGTGGAAGATTAAAAAGCTGAAATTTCCAAAGGTTTGCATTTCCCTGCTGCATTACTTTAAGTGTAAGCTAAGGGCTAGTTTTAAGCTTTGGAAACATTGTGCAGCTCTAATGTGTTCATACCTTGTAGACATCGTCTTTTCACAACTCCCATCATGACTATTAGACTCAAGACCAACTTGGAACTTAATCACCTTCAAGCTAACATGGTAAATGTGAGGATAATGTTCTCAAAATGATCTTTGGAGTCTGTGTATTTTGCATTTTATAATAGGTACTGGAAATGAAGATTTCTACAGGCCCTGCTTCTCTATAACTTCTAAATCTTAAGAGTACTTTTCAGTCTGTTTTTAAACTTGCTGCACATCATGAACCTCAGGGAGTGTAAGAGATACAGACTGAAATAAATAAATCATGTGATGCAATCAGAGGAGGAGGTTACTATCTATATCTGATCTGTGTTTTCATATGCTACCCTTTTATAAGTTTCAAAACAGTGTGGGAAAGTGACTCTTAAAAACTTAAATGGCTCAACATAATCCTTTTATCTTCTTTCTCAAGTACTTTTCCATGTACTTCCATTGCATAGAAAGAAATAACTTTATTAAAACAGGTCAGAGAGATAGGTATCTCTCAAATCTTCCACCAGAGGTGCATCTCAAGCCGATACAGGTGTTGAGCTCAGAGTAGTTATGGGCCTTGCAGCTACACCAGACAAGGAGCAGGTAGAAAAGAATGAAATCTCTAGAATGGAAAGCACAGAACAGAGTCAGATTGTTGGTCCATCTAGCTCAGTTTTCTACACAGACTGGCAGTGGCTCTCCTGGATTTCAGGAAGGAAACTCTCCCAATCCAACCTGGAGATGATAGAGATCAAACCTATGACATTCTGCATGCAAAGCAGATAAGGTGCTGGTGACAATGCACCTGACTATGTGCCCCCTCAACCCCTGTCCCTCCTGGCTTATCAAACAGAGAGAGTCTGGTTGTGTCCAGAATGTGGTTAATGCTATGGTACACGAGGGGGTGGTCCGTGCTGCATTGAAAGAGGCAGTGGTGTGACCACTCCTAGAGAAACTGGCTTTGGACCCTTTGAATTAGAACAGCATTTGGCCAGTTGCCAATACCCCTTTCTTGGGGAAGGTGATGGAGAGGGCCATGGTGGGACAGTTGTAGGTGTTTTTGGAAGACACAGATTATTTAGATCCATCCCATTCTGGGTTCAGGCCTGGCCATGGAACTAAGTCTGTCTTGATCACCCTGATGGATAACCTCTGCAGAGAGCAGGACAGGGGGAGTGCTTCTGCTTCTTGATTTCTCATCGGCATTTGATACCATCAACCATGGTATTCTCCTGGACCAGCTCTCAGGAATGGGAATTGGGGGCATTGCATAACAGTGGTTCCAATCCTACCTTCAGAACCGAATCCAGAAAGTAGCATTGGAAGACTGCCTTTCTATGTTATGAGGTGCCGCAGGTGACTGTCTTATTGCCAGTGCTATTTAATACCTACAGGAAGCCATTGGGAGTTATCATTAGGAGATTTGGAGTGAGGTGCCATCAGTACGTTGATGGCACTCAGCTCTATTTCTCCATAACATCTAGATCAGGAGAGGCTGTGTAGTCCCTGGGCTATTGCCTGGACACAATGGATAAGGAAAAAACAACATGAGCTTGAATCCTGGCAAGGGGGAGGAGGCACTATGGGTGAGTAGTTCCCAGGTTCAAGACATTGGTCAGTTGCCTACCCTGGGTGGGGTTTCACTCCCCCTGAAGAAGCAAGTTTGCAGCTTGGAAGTGCTTTTGGATCCAGCTCTGTCACTGGAGGCTCACATAGCTTCAGTGGCTAGAAGTACCTTTTTACCAAATGCAGCAACAGCTATAGCCATTCCTGGACTGGAAAGGCCTTGCTACAGTAGTTCATGCATTGGTTACTTCAAGACTTGATTACTGCAATGTGTTCTGTGTGAAGGAGTGAGACCTTGTCAGCATGTTACAGTGGTACCTCAGGTTAAGAACTTAATTCGTTCTGGAGGTCTGTTCTTAACCTGAAACTGTTCTTAACCTAAAGCACCACTTTAGCTAATGGGGTCTCCCGCTGCCACTGCGCCACCGCTGCATGATTTCTGTTCTCATCCTGAAGCAAAGTTCTTAACCCGATGTAATATATCTGGGTTAGCGGAGTCTGTAACCTGAAGCGTATGTAACCTGAGGTACCACTGTAATACCTCTGTTCAGAGATCTGAACTGGTTGCCAACCAGGCCAAGTTCAAGGTGTTACTACTAGCATATATAAAACAATAATAATAAATAAACCAAGATGCTCCACCACTGAACTCTAATTCCTTTCCATTTTTGTGTTTGTGTGGATTGATTTGCTAAGTATCTGCATGCTACCTCTCTCTTAGCTGTTCCATTTCAGAAACTACACTAATAGTACTACTGTCTACAGGGGCTCCAGCTGGAAACCTCTGGGTAGTTTGAGGCTGACCCTTGTCATGAACCACTGAACTGCATGTAGCAATATCTGCTTAGGGTGATGATTTGTTTTCCTGGGCAGGAAGGATTATAAGGAGGACTTTCTGTTCCAGGTAGTTATGGCCAAGCACTACTACTCAGTGACAGAGGATCTGCCTTGCATACAAAAGATGCTAGGTACACAATCCCTGGTGTCTTCAAAGAACTGCATGAAACCCTGGAGAACCGCTGCCATTTAAAGTAGACAATATTGACCTCAGCGTCTGAGTATAAGGCAGCTTCCTATGTTCTGTTCCTAATTCTTTGTATACAATTTTACCTAGCACTTGCATTTTTCAAATCTCTCAAGGGAGTCCTAATGATAGGAAATTTGAGAAGCCCTGATCTAAGGGGTCTGAATGTGTTCTGTGGTTATAATGCATAGGGCTGCTCCAATCCAAGCATGATTATGAAGTAAGGTTTCGTATATGGAGCGATGGAATGCAATTTGCAAATATTAAAGTAATGAAGTGCAATTTGTAAAGAATGAAATAAGAGCTTAATTTTCATCTTTGTAAAAAAAACAACAAGTAAAAAACTTTAATAGGTGAATTATTATCTAGTATCTGATGCCTGAAAGGTATCTTGTTGAAATCAAGTTGATGGGGTGGTAGTTTCTTTTTAACTTTTGTGCAATGATAGGTTTAAAGCAAAATCATTCTCAAACCTTTGAGGTAGATGGGATATATCAGGTGAATACAAAGGAGATTAAATAAATAAATGGAACGAAAGAAATAATAATGTTTGCGTTTTGTCTCCCATCTTCTACACCAGGTGAAAGCTATGTCTGTGCATCCAATGAGCCATTTCGGAAAGTTGATTACACTAAGAACGTTAATCCTAATTGGTCTGTCAACATAAAATCTGTGTCATCTCGATCCCTCACATCTTTGACATCTGCAAGAAGTGAACTGAAGGAGAGCAAAGACTTCATTAAACCCAAGCTGGTAACCGTTATACGGAGTGGAGTGAAGCCACGCAAAGCTGTGAGGATTTTGCTGAATAAAAAGACTGCTCACTCCTTTGACCAGGTGTTGACTGATATAACAGAAGCTATTAAGTTAGATTCTGGAGTTGTCAAGAGAATTTGCACACTGGATGGAAAACAGGTAAGATGAATTTACAAGACTGCAATCTTAAATTTACTTGAAATATTCAAGTGACCCTGAGTGAACTTTTGCCTGTGTTGAGCTGTACTTGTCAAGTTAATCTCATCAAACATCTTCCCCTTACTCCATTGGACAATATAACACAATTCCTGCCTTCTTGAAATTGAAATAGCCTTTTTCTTTTATTGCGGCAATGCCTAGATGAAAGTTCATTTACTTGTATTGTCCTCCTGCAGTTTAACATGATGAAAGCTCACTATAGAGTTTGGCAGACAAGGCACTTTGCTTCCAATTACCAACTGATTGAACTTATTTTCTAATGAGGTAAATTGCTCATGCCTCCAAATCTGCTTGGGCAGCACTTTTTTAATATATCATTGTAATGTTGGAAGAGACTGAAAGGAGTTTGTTAGAAGCTCAATTCTAAATGGCGAATCATGTTCTACTTTCTCTTTTTGAAATGCACAGTTCAGCATGTTATAAAAATATATATTGTGATGTGTCCTCCTTGACATCATAAGAAATAGATGAATTTTAAAAAAGCAAACATAGGGTTTGTTTTTTGAATTTAATAAGACCTTGAAAACCTACACATACATGAGACTTCTAAACACGGTAAGCTCTTAAAACAAGAGAGATTTCCTCCCAAATGTTAAAGTATGCATTCTGGTAAAAGAATATGATTTATGCTGAATCACTTAGTATGCTTGGAGCCACAGATAAACATATTTACTATTATATGAGAAGGTATAGCCTTCTTTCTCTCCACAGACCCTATTGGCAAAACTGCAGCCCATGCTATATATGTAAACTGCTTCGCAAGCTACTGTGGGAGAAGACAAATAGCAGATTATGGAATAATCTTTGTCAACCAGAATGGGTCCAAGTATCATGTGCCTATGGAAGCATAGTGCTTCTCCTTTGTTCAACTACTGACTGAATCTTATTCAAACAGGAAAATATTGAGTCTATGTGGCACTTATTTACTTGAATTAATTTCAGATCTTTGCCTTGTCATTCCCTAAAGACTCAGGTGTACATATTTTTAAAATATATATATTTAAAATATATTGCACTCTTCAAGGCTATACCATCTATTGACGTTCAATAATAATCAGCATGTATCTGGGACTCCTGTATTACTTAATTTTCCTTATGTGAGAAAAGGTCATAAAATCACCAGGAGTGTTATCTGTGGTGCACTGAATTCACAGTTCCATGGACACCCACAGTGTCAATTACCCAAGGTAGTAGTCAAATATTACTGAAACATAATGGATTTGGGATAACATTGTTGATAACTGAGCCCCAGAATCTTGATTGTAGAAATAACCTCCAAGCTTTATTCTAGGCTCTTTATGAGGCGCAGCTGAAACTGCCACTGTGAGTGGAATAGATTAGGGGGGGAAATACAAACTTGTTTTCTTTTTAAAAAAGCAAAACAAAAACATGTCTTTTTGTCCCTTAGGGCAGCTCTAAACAATATGGCTTCAGCTGCAGTTATTGATTTCTCTGTTAGGGAAACATGTGTACTTATTAACAGCACAGCATAGTCTGGTAATTTACTGAAGCCGGCTAATAGATTCCACTAAGTCCCTACTCCAATATGCCAAGGGTTTCACCATGACAAAATCTAAATCCACTACTAATTTTAGTTTTCAGTGCCCAAATGGGGCCAGCAACAAAATGTTCCACAAAGTGTGATATGCTCTTGTTCTTGACTGGCTGGCTGGAAACCTTTAGGATATTTCCACTTCGGGATAATTCTGTCCCCTCTTCCATACAGTTTTCCATTTTGCACAGTTCAGTTCCACTTTTGCATTCGCTTTACTTGAAGCAGGGATCCTGGTTTTAAATTAAATCAGCTCAGTTTGTTAATAAACAGTAGATAATGTATTTGTGCATCTAAATCTGAACCTTCACATTTGATCAGAAAGGTATTAGCTTGGCAACAGATCCTGATTGTGTGAAAGAAAGGTGGAAGGAGACACTTGCTATTTGATAATTCTCTGAGGAAGGTTACTAGGCTTCTGTAATGAAACAGTACCTAAAGCTAGTAGAAACATGCTTTCAAAGGTTAATGGAAAACTTCTTTTTAGAGTGAAAGGCTATATACTTTAGCACCAGATTCTATGGATTGAATTACACTCAAAACCTCATAACCCATTGAGTCAATCATCCATCTCTTACTACCTTTCTGAGAAGTACCCCATCCCACCCTCCCACTATTTATAAGGGTCTAGTGACTTCTGCTTCAGTATATCTGAAGAAGTGTGCATGCACACAAAAGCTGATACCCAGAACAAACTTAATTGGTCTCTAAGGTGCTATTGGACAATTTTTTCAATTTCCCCCCTCATAACTTCTGCTCCATTGCATTTTTTTGTTATGTGTATTTTAGTGATTTGCTGAGATTAGCTAATTCCATTTCAGATAAAAACTGCTGAAGTCTACAGAGAACTAGATTTAAACTGGAAGAGCCAAGTGAAAACTCTTTACAAAACCTCTATGTAGCTTATACATAGTTTCAGTCAATTTATGGAAGCTTTTCTCTCCTTTGATTCTCTGTGGTATAATGAAAGCCAAACAGGAGAAAACCAGTCAAGGACAAAATTTTACTCTTGCAGGCTGCTGCTTTAAAACCAAAACCAAAAACACCAACCCATAAAACCCCACCAGTTGTGAATTGTGGGGGGAAAGGGTATCGTATCCTTGGGATATTACTGTTTTATTTAGCTTTCAACATTATGCCAGCTGTTTTTTCAGCTTGGAATGTAAGTAATCCCATAGGCTTCCATTTTGTAAATGTCAACACCCTTCCCTCTAGAGTTTGGAAATTAGATGGCTAGTCAACCAGCAATTCATTCATTAACACGTTTACTGATTTCCAGAGGCAGATCAGTGAATGTAACATTTATATTTTTGCAGTAGGCTAAAATACACTCCTTGTCTTCCATTCATGCAAGCGAAAGGCATTATCAGAGAACCAGGACACATAATGCACATAACACAAACAAGTGTCTCATTTAAAATTATATCATAAATCCAACGTATAACATTTTCCATAAACATAGATTATATATCGAAGCTTAAATACATTTCTGGAGTTGTAAAGTACATGAATAGATGCAAATACTATGCAAATACTGCATAGATATTAATACTGCCTATATAAACACAAGTGAAGATAACACATCTCTACACAATTCAGAATATGTTAACCATATAATCTGGTTGTGTTCAATGTATCCTGATGCTGACAGACACATTTTGGCTTGTAACAATCTTCTTTGGTGGCATAAGTTCAAAAGAAGCAATGCCCAAATATATTAATGCTGCAGTAGCTGACTTTAGGCAGAATGAAATGATCTGTATCTTCAAGGCTATAACAGAGTCCAGTTAAATGCAACCCTAAGCCTAGTTCTCCTAAATAGCATTCAAATGCCAACATGAATGGATGTGTTTTTAAGTTGCTTTCTAAAATTCTTTATTAGTCTGGGTGATTGCTGTATCTCCAGAGAGAAGAAACGCTGCCAGCAAGAAGATTACTATCCCACATTTCCTCAAAAAGCCCACCAGCAAGATCACATGAAGGTATCTTCCATCCCACCCTTGCAGAACACAGGTCCCAGATTGGGAAAAGGCAGTCCTTCAAGTATTTCAAGTTGAAATCTTGACCACTTGTATGATAACCCAACTATATGGCAGAGCAACTGAAGCCAAGCAGTAATGATTGTAACAGGAAAGGATGGTATGGAATGAATCACATCCTACCATGTGGGTTCATGACGCATTTTTCTCTCAGCTGCTACAAGAAAACTGACTGCTCCACATCCAGTCTAGGTTAATATACATTTGTTAAGAACTGGAGGAAGGGAGCTAAATGCAATGCTTTTCATCAACTAGCTTGTTTGGCAGTCTAGTTTATATTCTGGCATGCTAGCTGGAAGGTAAATTAGTAAATAAGTTTTGCTTTGATACAGCTTTGTTCTTATTTGTACTACCTCAGCAGACTTTAAAAAGGGTTACTGAATTAACAGTTGTCTCTTACAGTTTTCTGTTTTTTAAATAAAATACAAATGACTGCTGTTCTCTTACAGGCCTAAGGTCCCAGTACTACATCAATGATACATGTATTATCCTTCATTCCCGAAACAGTACACCTCATTCCATGTTATTCTCCACTGTGCACAAGATCATATGGTGAAGCTGCAAAATTAGCTTACAGACTCCTTCGTTTGCTTCTGACTGTTAGTACTGTGAACAGAATTTATAGGCATGTGTCCTAATTGATGGGGAAACATTAGGGTTTTTTCTTTTTAAAAAAACACAACTATGTTATGTTTTACATAATTTCAAATATGACTACAAGCAGGTTAGGATAGAACATCATCCCAAGAGGGTCATTCAAAGAAGTGGTCCTTGTAATATCAGGTCTGTTTAAGAGAGATGTGATTCTCTTTGGGTTAGTATCTACGATTGACCTCGAAATTGCACCTGCAGATCATGTGTTAGCTCCACAACTGGAAAAAAAAGCTGAAGGAGAACAAATAATTAGATTTTTAAAATAAAATGATAGAAAACTAGACAGCTAATGAAAATAATATCAACACCTAGTAGAAAAATAATTGAGAGAAGTAGGAATGAAGTGAATAATGTAGAAAAATAGCTAGGGAGAATGAGACAGGGTGCATGGGAAGCTGTTTTGCTTGCCTGCACTATTCCTTTTGGACTTGTCTGTCAATTTTAACCAGCTGCATGCCATTCCATTGAAACTTCCAACTTTATCTTCTCTCATTAAAGCGGCTTCTTTGTTATTCTTTTAAGCTGCATCTTGTTCTTTAGCCCGTATATTATAATATCCTTGCCAATTTGTCAGACCTCCATGGTGTGAGGGTTGCTTTGATGGATGATAATCTGCCTTTGGGCTGCCTCTCTTTCTGCCCGGACCTTTTTTGTTTTTTTTACTACAGTTCTATAGCTAACATTCCCTGTACCACCTGCCTCTCTGGTAATTCTGTTCACTCCATTAGATTGAACATGTGGTACAATCAATAAATCTTTCTATTGACCTCATAATTTGCTCTTATTTCCATTACGTTCTTCTGGTTATCTAGATGGCTCTACAGTTATCAGTTGGCATTTTAAATCTCTGGCTTTTATCACCAGTGCATTCATAAAATGAAAGTGATAATGTACGATAGCTTTCTCCTCCAAATGTTTTTTGTCTGCAACTTGCACCATCTTGCCATTGGCTGATGGAAGTTCTGGCCCAAAGCCTCTGAAAGGAACTGGATTGGGAATGGCTCGTGTCTTTATATACGTATGAAAGAATGACTCTCCATATTTCTGTGAATATATAACGCATAGTATATTGTAGCATTATACAGCAGCTGCCTGTTTTTTTTAACATATATGTCATGCATACTGCTTATGCATGATAAAATACCTGCATTCATGGCCATAGCCAGGACTTTTGTTAAGGGGAGCAGAACTCACCTAATTGGTCAATTAGTTAAGCATTTCTATTATTTGATCGAGGGGAGGGGCAGCTGCTCCCCTGCCCCCCCCCCCATGGCTACGCCCATGCCTGCATTTGGCAAGTGGTTTGTGTGAGCCTGGGCTTCTAAATACAGTTGAGTTTAGAGACACTCACAACTAATCCTTAGAAGTAACTAAATAGGTTTGATTTGCCGTATATTCTTTACAGCAGGCATCCCTAAACTTGGCCCTCCAGATGTTTTGGGACTACAACTCCCATAATCCCTAGCTAACAGGACCAGTGGTCAGAGATGATGGGAACTGTAGTCCCAAAACATCTGGAGGGCCAAGTTTGGGGATGCCTGCTTTAGAGAGTATAAGTTTGGGAGATGTTCACGAGTTGAGTAAATTTATGCCAAAATGCACAGCTTATCTTTAGCTTATAATAATCAAATGTCATTGTCTCTAGACACTTGTATGTGTACTAATAAACAATACACCTTGTGATGTTTGCTAATACTGTGGTGGATATATACTGGGGTTGGGCATGTCCACCTGATCTAGTTTGGGGCCCAGTTTGGTGCTTTGAGTCAGGTTCAGTCTGACCCAGGATGATCTGGACCTAACCCATTCCAGACCCTGAACCAAACTGGGGACCTTTTGCAGCCCTAGTTGTTTAATTGTGGTTTGAAACCCTAATTACACATTGTATGTGGTCAGGAGGAAAAGACACAGGCAGAGATTCTTGCCTGTGTCTCTTTCTCCCCTTTCTTGCCACCGACCCCAAGTTTGATTAGGGTTTAAAATCCTAATTAAGCATGCAGTCACATGACCGCCCCCCACCTGAATCACTTTGGGTAGGCTCGACTTGGACTGGTCCAGGGCTGCTTTAAACCACTCTGGGCAAATCCCAGATAAACCCAAATCATTCAAGTTTGATATCCAGGATTTGCCTGAGGCCGATGCATAGCCTTAATAGTTATCAGCTTCGGAAGGAAATGTAGAATGACCTCTCTTTAGAGTTTCTTTCAGTATTATGAAGTTTTATAAATTTGTTAAATGAAGACACATCTGGTTGGGTGTGCTTTATATTTTTTGTTTCCTGAATGCTGTTTTCAGTTGTGAAAGTAATCCAGATGTTTTCAGTGTGGTTAATAATAGGCTCTCCAATTTCCAAATCACTGTTTTTATTCGTAAGTAAGGTTGTAAGTTGTCCTCAAATAGATGCACATGAATAATCTTTTTTGGATTTGTACTGGAATATTAAATTGTAATCTCTGCTGTGTTTTGTATGCCGTAGTGGCCTGATTAATAATAACTAGTACAGAAAGATATTCAGTCTTTCCACACTGGCAGACTGTTAGGTGCTTCTGGTCATATTGCCTGGGTTGTCTGATGATCAGACAACAAACCAAAGAATATGCATTTCAGTTCAATTTCTTACTTATTCCAGAATTCCATTGGCAGCAAGGAGTTGTCTCCTTTCTTTTCCCTTGCCTGTCTGTCATGAATATTGTTGTTGGCTCATTTTCAAATGATACAGCATGAGCATTGACTATAAGCAGTTGTTAAGTTTTCTGGGTGAAATTAGAATAGATCCGCTTTCTTCTGATTGTAATCAATAGTATCCACCCTAGATTTGACCCAGAAGACTTGAACAACTATAGACTGTTTGCAAATGTCTTTGTCTTGTACAAGGTTCTTGAGCAGTTGGACGGTGACCAAATACAGGAGTGCTTAGAGACTGATTTTCTACACCCATTGCATTCGGGGTTCAGGGCCAATTTTGGCATGGAGACCACAACAGTCAGGAGATGGATGAGGAGTATCTGTGTTGACTGTCCAAGATCTCTTGGCAGCTTCTGAAACAGTCAACCATGGTATTTTTCTGGGGAGACTGAGTTGAGAACAGAGGGGCTTGTTTTCCAGTAGTTTCACTGCAGAAGGTAGCAATTAGGGGATGCTGTTCAGCCCCTTGGAGTCTCTATTGTGGTTCTTCAGAGTTTGAATTAGCTCCCATGCTGTTTAACATCTACTTGAAACTGCTGCATGAGGTCATCCAGAATTTTAGATTGGGTTTTAGGATAATTTGCACTGGAACATTTTTAATTTGCATTGGAGAATTTTATTGTATCTTAGTAAATGATCTAAATTAGCATGTGCATGTTTATTTTAATTGTATTTAGTAAGCGAAGCAACAAACTTTGAAACTGTCAGGCTTGCCTAATATTTATTTGCAGTTGGCACCCATTTATTGTTACCAGTGTTCGAAACTCCCATTGTGTTTCTAGACGCATTTTGTGACAGGGAATTTCATTAGCGTGAGCAATTTCTGAGTTTTGGATGCAGCACTGCGCCTAAGATTTCAGATTAAAACTTCCACGGCTGTGTAAAATAACTAAACAAGTATTAGAAATCACCCCAGAATTGGCCCTACTAAACATCTTCCAAGACAATAATGCCCATTTACACCACAAAGAACTCATAACCCACCTACTTTCAGCAGCCCGAAACATCATAACCAGACACCGACAGAGACCTGTCAGGAGTAAGCATGGACCAATGGTACAAAATAGTATGCGAAACAGCCTTACTAGAAAAATTAACCAATAAACTGAAACTGACATGGGGACAAATAGAAGAAGATGCCTTCACCCCGGTATGGCTCCCCTTTATTACATACACAGCCCAACAAGACAATGACAAAAATCCACCAACAGCATACAAATCAATATGGCTAACCTGATCCAAAACAGCCACCTACCCCACTCACACATGAAAACAAAGATCACCACAGCCAATCACAAACAAACAACCACACCCTAGGCCAACCCCAACCTCTCTTACCACCAAAGGAACACAAAGAGAACCTGCACAAGTGACGCTGACACAAAACCCCACATATGTTAAGTAAAATAGAAATATTGCGACCCGACCCCACCCCCACTCACCTTTCCCACCTCCTCCTCTTTCCCCCTTTTGTTTCTAATGTCTCAACAGATGAAACTGATCTGTAAAAAATGTTACTTTTAAAAAAAGAGAGCGATTGCACATACTTTCGTAAACCAAGGAAATCTTTAATAAAAACACAATAAAAAAAAACCTGCCACTGCTGGAAGGAAAGGAAAGGAGGATATTTTTCTGCCTCCCCTCTTCCAGCTAGTCTCTGAAGACTGGAAAAGAGACCCTCTTAAGAATATCAGGGGGGTGAGCAGGGGAAGACTGGACCATGTGAAAAATAAACATAATGTTTTAGCTGCAGTTCATTCATTTTCAGCATTTTATTCTTGTTATAAAAAAGTGTGCCTAGGCATTGGGTTGTTGTTCCCATAAACTGGGTTTAAGGTGCCATTTCGCTCCTAGCTTTTATATCACAATTTCTAACACTGATTTTTACTCAGGAATTTGTGAACAAGAAAATATTCCATGGGAAAATGAAGTGCTAGGGGTGGGGGGATTCTATTTAGTTTTGGAAAAGTTTTCACCCCTGGCTCAGGAGGAAAGACTAGAACCTCCCATTCACTTGCACTGCCTGCCTCCCTTATGCATGGGAGGCAGTTTTTGATTTTTGGGGAGGCTTTGATTTTTAGCAGCCACATCATGGTGCATTTTAACTGCACCATTAATATAATGTCTACTTAGGCCATGCATAGGATTATGCTGTGCAAGTGGGAGGACTTCAGCTGGTCTCAACCAACCTCTTATGAATTATCTTCCTGATTACAGTCAGTGTAAAGTCTAGACACAACAATATAAAACATGAAATGTGAATAGATGGCATCTATGTTAAGATAGACGGCCACGAGTGGCTCTGTGGGTTAAACCACAGAACCTAGGGCTTGCCGATCAGAAGGTCAGCGGTTCGAATCCCCATGACGGGGTGAGCTCCCGTTGCTCGGTCCCTGCTCCTGCCAGCCTAGCAGTTTGAAAGCACATCAAATGCAAGTAGATAAATAGGTACCGCTTTGGCGGGAAGGTAAATGGCGTTTCTGTGTGCTGCTCTGGTTCTCCAGAAGCGGCTTAGTCATGCTGGCCACATGACCCGGAAGCTGTCTGTGGACAAACACCGGCTCCCTCGGCCAGTAAAGCGAGATGAGCGCTGCATCCCCAGAGTCGTCCACGACTGGACCTAACTGTCGGGGGTCCCTTATGTTACCTTTATGTTAAGATAATGTCCATGCAAATCGTAATTTGTGTTAGAGACATGGCAAAGAAGGTGCCCACTCAAGAAATATAGATAGATATATAGGGAACACCCTTGTGCTAGGTTAGACTGTTTAACTCAGCATTGTCTATTCTGAGTAGCACTGGCTCTCCAGGGTCTCAGTCTTTCACATTACTCGGTACCTGATCACTTTAACAAGAGAGGTCAGGATTTGAACCTAGGACCATCTGTATGCAAAGCATGCACTGTACCAGTGAATTGGCCTCTTCCTGATGATTATGTGAACCTTAAATGTATTAAACATGAATTCCTGTTCATAGAAATGTTTAATTAAAATATTTCCATTGTGCCTCCCAGTCAAACAATATAAATACAATAAAATAATCTTTTTTTAAAAAAAAACCACACATCTAGCTTTATATTACAGTTTCTTTCCAGCCTCATATCACAGCTGGAGTTGTAATTGCAGTCTGTCCAGTGAGGACAGGACTAACTCAAATTTGCATTTTGACATTTTAATTGGTTTAATCTTGCATCTTTTATTCCAAACTAAATTGAGTTGGCCAGTGAGTCATTTATGTATTAGAAATACTGGGATAAGTGTTTTTCTTGCAGTTCCCTTCTTGGGAATACTCTAATTGTAAGCAACAGTTTTATTTTAGGTGCAACCTGTATTGTTAGATAGCTCAAATATATTTGTGTTTGCTTTTTTCTTTGCTTAGTACCATACCTTCAGCAACAGATAAACTGCTTGGTGCCTTTTGTTTTTATACGTACAAATTGATCTGCCAAACTCTTTTGGTAAATCCCCAATTTATCATGCATTAATATTTCAGAACCATTTAACACCCTGCTGTCTCTAGATTCTGACAGTATAATGGGTTGTTTGTGGGCAGAAAGCATCAGCTATGGAGAATTTATTTCTAAAATGTAGTTCATTAAGCTATAGTTGCTTTAAGCTAACACTGTGTGTTTCTTTGTATCTTGGTTTCAGCCCCTAGATAATCTAGTGGTTTAGTGTTTAAGGACAAGAATTAAAACACTTACATCCATTTGCCTTCCCACTGCCCCATGCAGGTCCTTTTATAAAAGTGCCTGTGACGCTTTGACAGTAAACAATCTGCAGTCTGAGCAAGCAGTGCTATTCAGCAGGGAGGAATTGAAGTGCCCTTTTCACCTTCTACTATATGCTGCAGGCTGCGGAGATAATTTTTTTAAGTCTAGGCCTGGGCTTGTTGGTGGCAGATATGAAATGGGAAATGAGTTGCTGACCTATTTCTACAGCAAGCTTTCCTTGCATTTTGCACTTTAAGGCCCCAAACTATTAACACAATGGATTCAGACAGTTTAGCTGAACAATACATTAATTTTAATAGGGATGTACTAACGCGAGAGGATGAGGGAGTTCTTCTTTAAATTAGAACAGGCACAGAATGGTGATTAGAAATACAATGTGTAAATTGGCAATTAAGCATGCACTTCCCTAAAAAAAAAATTGTAAATGTATCAGAGAAGAACAATAAACCATGTTCAAAGCTCCTACAGTAAGTTGAATCCCATTTTAGTCATTCTTGAAGTAGGGCAATTGAAATCAAAGGAAAGTAATGACTGAGTTAAGTCACATTGGTTTTACTAGGTTTTCCCGTTGTCTTCAACCTAAAGTATTCTGCTCGGAGTATAGCCATGTTTCTTGGAGGATTGTTGGTACCTGTATTATTGAGTGCAATAGAGGAGATTGTGATTAAGGCTAGGGTGCTGTCCCTAATTAGATACTGCCATTATATTTCAATAATACATGCAAAGTGAGCACTGAATCTACACATATATTAAAAAACACTGTGAAAATGCTTTTTTGAAAAACGTTTTGAAAAATACATTGAATTTGCCATAGCTCACTGTCTTCATCTAGTGTCACATTTACAGCATACTTAAACAGTTTCTATTTGCAGCTGTATAGCATAGTCCTGAGTATTTCTAGTTGAGCTGCTTGTCATTATTTCTCAACTAAACACACACACACACTCCCCGCTGCCAATTATTATTGGGTGTGCTGTACACTCAGGCTTCCTTTCCTTTGTCCATTAAACTGAGCATTTCCTCTTTCAAAACGTTAAAACCATATCCTGTTTCCTTGACATTAATATTGTCCAAGGCCATAGGTGGCGTTTAGATCTTGCACAAAAGAGAATTTAACTGTCTTTCCCTAGTTTGATGTTTTACTACAGCTTGCATCTGAGGTTGAGGGCTGCTTTCTTTTCATCGAGGTTTTATTCCTTTTGAAAGAAGAATGTCATCCACTATTTGCCTTGAAACAGTTCAAGCTTGTTTTCATTTACTTGGAAGCGAGCCAAATTCAGGAGACCATTGTTAACTGCACCTTGGAAGCAATGTAACTATCCTGGAATGGTTCCACTCAGAAGCCCTAGATGTAAGCTTTTAGATTTGCAAGAATAGCACAGCTGACCAGGATTGCTTTAGCTTATAAACAAAATGAGCTGTGTTGCTTTTCTTTAAGAAGTGAAATGAATACAATAGAAATCAGCTTCAGTACTGGGACTTCCAAAACTGATGGAAACATAAAATTAAATGGACAGCTAATGAAGGTGATCAAAAGCATGGCTGAGAAGCCCTTTTATCCATGGGGATATGTCTAGTAGCATTTTTACTTGCTTTCAGAAACTTTTCAAATAATATATTCCACATGTGCAAATGTAAACATAATGAAATTGCTGCTCATTGGAGGAGTCCACTTATACATAATAGATAGTCAGCAGAAAATCTTTACATTAGAAACCATAATCCTTTTGTATATTTACTTTATCCTATTCATAATCTGAAAAAGATAACATTCATAAAATGCAGTTTTTGGTAGCCATATTCACATGTGACTATTCAACTTGGAGACTGCATTCAGAAAAGCAGAGCTTCATAGCTGCAATACACCTCTCTTCAAATTCCAAATAAAAGTACTCATTTTCCTACATTTGCAAATCCCCCTCCTTTGTTCTTCATTGTGATGTTCACCCCTTCTTAGTATTTTCTTTACATTTATTATTATGCTACTGTAAAAGGATCAGCTGCATGCCTAGCACTGCACAAAAGGGCTTTCCCAATCTGTGTTAGATCATGGAACAAGTAGACAAAGAGAAATGGACAAAAAGGGGGCAAAATTGCTTTAGAGCTTAGGGTGTTCAGTTTTCTTTTGTGGTCTCGTAGTGTGGGCATGCACCTTTTCCAGCTATTGTACAATGAACACCACAAATGATGGCTTGAATGATATTCGGGAGTTGGGTGGGTATGATTTCTCTTAGAGTATGGTTAATTTAAAACCTTTACAAAGAGAGGAACAATTATTATTTTTTCTGTACAGAGGATAGATATTCCTGTTGATCAGGCAGGCTAGGAAAGAGTTACGTATTTGTCTTGTCAAAACTGCTTAACTATGTTGAGGTGAATTACTTTTTCTCCAGACTTATGTAGACATTTATCCTTTATCATGAGGTTATTCTAAAGCTAACCGGATACTGGGAGGAGAGAACGTTGTGTCATTGAGCTTGATAATAGAATCAAACAAATGCTCAGTGCTACATGTTTCAGCCTACAGATGGTCTTACTGTAAGTTCAGCCAGCTTTTATCTCTGGTTTAGCTGCTATGACAACTGCACTGCTTTCAAATGCCTTGTACAAATGATCTTTGAGAGTGCTGAAAGTCATTGATATTCTGAGTGTTTTTCTACTGCAGGCAGCAACAAACCTTCCCTGTACTCCAGCTCATATTTACTGTTATCATAGAGGGTAATGAATGCACGTTTTGTCATTAGACAAGTGGACTGAAAGTGATAAAACTAGGATTGCAGCTTTAAAAATAAACTAAGCACAGTTACAAGAGCGTATGCCCCACTGAAAACAGTGTGGCTTACTTCTGAGTAAACATGCACAGAATCGCACTATAATGCTTTATACACTCCTCCCCCCCCCCCCAATTGCCAATAGCTTTTTCTTCCTTTTCTTTTCTGTTTATTTCCTCCTCCCCTCCCTTCTGTTTTGAAATTCTGGTATCATTTCATGAGGGGAGGGGGAGAGATAAGGGAAATTCAGGCGTGTTCATAATTTGTCTGGTTTTCCCCCCCATTTTATTTTAAACATAGCTATGTAAAGAAGGCTTGCCATTTATTCTGAATTGACATAATTGTCACATTAAAAAGTTATTTTTAAAATACACGACCAGGTTGCAGTTACATCAGTGTTTCCAGATCCAGTCAGAATAATAGCCACAAAAAATAGTCTCTCCCATTATCCAGGCGTATCATCCCCCATGGTGGGTAATCTCATAACTGTGGTGGTGAGATTGAGAGCAGGCAAAAGGAACCAGTTTCAGCATTTCAGAAAACAGTTCACCCTGACCTGAGGCACATCAAAGGCTTCCCAATTTCAGTCTTTTGGTGCCTTGGTTCCCACCCATGGTTGCAGTACTCAGACTCCCAGCTCAGTTATTGTTAAAGGCTTTATTCCGAAATTCACTGCAATGCCCAAATGTAGATCAGACCACAGTTTACACAGTTCAGAAGTTCACAACAGAGCTCTAAAATGCATGGTTAGGAGTAAGCTAAAATGTCTTGACACTTAACACGCTCCCTGAGCTCCCCTTTGAAGGACAGAGTGGGCACTGTTCAATCAATCAACCAACCAATCAATCAGTCTTTTTTGTGGTTAAAGACCAGACAGCAAAGTCAACAACAACAACATATGCAACATCTGCATGAAGAAGTGGACATAATTAAAAAATTCCCTATAAACTTAATTACATTAAAAATAACACTCCTTCAGCTAAACTCTGTATTCCAGAAATTAAAAGTGCACAGTTGTTGTCCCGAAATATGGGACTAGGCAAGCCAGCAAGCCCACCTACGAGTAGGTTGGGTCTGCTTACACCAGCATAGCCACTGCAGCATTCTTAGTGATGGACATGTAGTTGACATGGCTTGCCTCACGGTCTGCTCTAGTCTTGGATTCCTCCTTTTCGGGACAGAAGATACTTCACTAACAAGGTGGGTTGCCAGAGTCAAGTCAGGTAGTTCTACTGTGCCAGTCAAGGCACCCCATAACACTGATGTGGGAATCTCTGCCAACAACAAACTGGGCACATTCCCACCATCTAGACCAGCGTTTCCTAGATCTATTGGCCCTCTCCAGGATCCAGTTCTGCACATCTGTCCCATTCTTCTCCCGCTATGACCAGCTTTGCCGAGATATCTCAATGCAGTTCATGACAGCTGAGCTCATTTGTACAGTGGTGCCCCGCAAGACGAATGCCTCGCAAGACGGAAAAACCGCTAGACGAAAGGGTTTTCCGTTTTGAAGTTGCTTCGCAGGACGAATCCCCTATGGGCTTGCTTCGCAAGACGAAAATACCTTGCGAGTCTTGAGATTTTTTTCGCTTTTCCCCCTTTATCTAATCTGCTAAGCCTTTAATAGCCTTTAATAGCCTTTTAGCAGCTAATCCCCTAAGCCTTTAAGCCTTTAATAGCCGCTAAACAGCTGATAGCGCTAATAGCGCTAATCCGTCAATGGGCTTGCTTCGCAAGACGAAAAAACCGCTAGACGAAGACTCTTGCGGAACGGATTAATTTCGTCTTGCGAGGCACCACTGTACTCTCCAGCACTACTGGGAAATTTATAAAATAGCTGCAATTTTGTTCCCCTTTCAACAGAAGTGAATGAAATTTGTAGGCACAGTAGTTCATTCAGAGTAGATAAGGTCAAATTAAATTGTCTGCCAAGTTGCAAATCTTCAGGGGATTTGTTTTTTTAAATCTTCAAATCTTCAGGGGATTTGTTTTTTTTAATGTTTTGATTTTGAGATGGGATACTGAGGGTGTAATTCCTGCCACGCCTGACTAATTACTCCCTCAGGAAATGCAGTGTTTAACAGAAAAATGGTTGCCTACCCTTGCTATGTGCAAAGCAGAAAGGTAGCACAAAATGTAAACTTCTCTCCTTAGTCTAGCTAGTCCACTCAGTAATATTCTTCTTTGCTTTTTATTTATTTTTTTTAAAAAAGGTTACCTGTTTGCAAGACTTTTTTGGTGATGATGATGTTTTCATTGCCTGTGGACCTGAGAAATATCGTTATGCTCAAGATGATTTTGTACTAGATCACAGTGGTAAGTACTGTCTGTACATTTGTTTTGAACCATAAGCTCCCAGTGCTTATGAAAGCACTGAGTGGCATTGTGACTGCATACTCCCCCTCCCCCTCCCCCCCGCCCCCATGTATATTGCACTGATAAATGGGCTAAATGTAAATGGGGTGTATCATGCGTTAGGGGAGGAGTAGTACCTCTGGTAGAAGACATGCCGTGCTCCTTCTGGAGTAGTTTGTCCACCTTTGGTCCCAACCCTGTACTCAGTTCTCACCTGTGGCTCCTAGAAGCTGCATGCGACAGTGGCCACACCCTGAGAAATGGCATTGACTGGCTGGCTAAACCAGGTGAAGGTAGCCAATGGGTCTCAAACCCTTGGTGAGTTAGGCACTTGCCCTGCATGTGAAGACAGGCAAGAAGGTCAAGAAGGTAGTTTCTGCAGATGATGTAGAGGGAAGTGAGGGGAAGATGAGGCTCATCAACCTGGGAAGGTAGCCAATCTAGGAAAAGGAAAACACTGATCCTAAACCTCCGATGCCTTGTGGAATATCTTTGGGAGCAGAAAAAGCTAAGGAATAAATGCTACACAAATCCAGAGTAGAATCAAGTCCCTAAGGCATTTTGATTCTGTTTTGTATGCCTTCTTCTGACAACAAATGCAGACAGGCTGGTGGCAAATGTATTGTTCTTCTTTCCTTTGGACCACATCAGCGAGGCTGAGAGTAGGGTCTTGTTGCCTGGGCAGCCCAGGACCTCCATACTGGAAGCATAGATGAAAACCAGAGGTGGGTTTAGAGGAGCGTGACTGCTTTCGTTGCACTGGGCACTGAGCCTTGGGAGCACAACAGGGGACACTGCAACTATGATTTAGAATGGAACACAAGAAGCGGGAGGGGGCACCTGTTTTTCATGAGAAATTTGAGACCCCAAGTTCCGCCACTGTGAGAACCTAAACTCTGTAAAGGGGACCTGTGAGGGAAGAACATACATTCCTGCAAATCGGAGGGTCTTGTGCAGTCCATTTTAAAGAAACCATGCCATCTAGAAAAATATACCACTAGCATTATTCCCTGTGCACATCAATGATGGGAAGATGATGGGATGATGCAATACGACACAAAGGGTTCTTGGAGAGGCAATAGGGAGCATCAAGGCATTCTAATCCCTGGGATCCATATGAACCAGAATCATAGAGTTCTGCTGAAGGACCTAAGAAAACAGATTTGCTAGAGACTGTTGTTTATTAAAATAGCTAACTGCACAGTAGTCTAAGGGACAGTTCAACTTTCAGTTTAAAACTTCTAGTGTACATTGTGTCGCCTATTCATTATGTAGGAGCAGCAAACAGATTGCAGTCTCAGTGGGCACAATAATTACGCTTACAGTTGGATCAGAAAGACACTGGTGTGAACAGGTGGAAGAGGACTTGCTCCAGTCAGTTTTGATGAAATATGCAATATGTTAACATTCTTTTATATTCTCTTATTTGTAAAATAAATGATCTGCTTTTCCAACAGAAATGAGACATATATAAAATTCATATGTACACTCTTCTATTGTAACAGAATAAACAACCAAATCTAGTTTTAAAGCAATCTGGGGAAAAAATAATTTTCCAACATTTGATCAGATGTCAACAAGTTTATAAGCTTATAAATTTATAAACTCCTTTTGGTTCATTTAAGAAAAACTGTTTATGAAATGAGTATGTTTGGGTGATAAATCTAGTTGGTAGGTGGTTTTGTTGGAAGTGATTGCAACTCTAAAAATATTTCTTCTGCTATCCATCTGTTTGTTTACAGAATGTCGTGTTATGAAATCCTCTTATTCCCGTTCATGCGGGATATCAAGGTATTCTGGATCTAAAAGCCCTGGATCTAAAAGCCCTGGACCTTCACGTCGAAGTAAATCACCAGCTTCAGGTACAGCTGCCTGGGTGGATGGGGGAAATGTGCATTTAGAACTTTGTTTAATTAATATATTTTCTGCTCGTCAATCCCCAGCAGCTCTCACACACAGCATGTCTACCAATAAAATAAATAACTTTTAAACAGCAGAACAATAAAATTAGAGTCAATAGTTGTTTAAATATCATTTGTTAAACAGCATCTAGAAATCCTTGGCAAATAAAAAGGTTGACACTTGACTGAAAAATAACAAAGTCTGTACCAGAAAAGCACCACCAGGGAAAGAATGGCAAAGTATCACCACTAAAAAGGCCACCTTTATCACTACTGACACCACCTTTATCACTACCGGCAGCAGATAAAACCTGCAGAGGGGCCTCTTGATGAAGACTTTGGCACCCATGGAAGTTCGTGTAGTAACACGTGTTTTTTTGACATGTGCTCTTGCTTAATGGCTGTGCCCCACCATGACACCCTATTTCTCACCTTAAGCTCACCCAAAATGGTGAGGCAAAATTACACACTCCCCAAGCCTGAGGGAGATGCAAGGGTTGCAGAGGATGAATATGAATAAATTCAGTTGTACACATTTAAGTGTTTTCCCTTCGTCCACTCTATTCTTCTTTTTGAGGCCCATGACTTTCTTACTCCTTTTTTCTCTGTGGTATCCTTAGCCAACACAAAATGCATCTTCCTTCTTCCTTTCTCTTTGTGTCCCCCCCCCTTTTTTACAGTGCTTGTTCAGTGTGGTATAGTGGTTAAGAGTGGTAGACTCGTAACCTGGGGAACCGGCTTCGCGTCTCTGCTCCTCCACATGCAGCTGCTGGGTGACCTTGGGCTAGTCACACTTCTTTGAACTCTCTCAGCCCCACTCACCTCACAGAGTGTTTGTTGTGGGGGAGGAAGGGAAAGGAGAATGTTAGCCGCTTTGAGACTCCTTCGGGTAGTGATAAAGTGGGATATCAAATCCAAACTCCTTCTCCTCCTCCTCCTCCTCTTCCTCCTCCTCCTCCTCCTCCTCCTCCTCTTCTTCTTCTATTAGGTTTTTTTGCCCCAGTTATGTTTTTGATTATGTCTTTCAGTCCTGTTCCAGTGTCAGTATTTTAAAATATCAACGTTTTAGGGGAAGTGGTTCACTGACAACCGGAGAACAACAGATTGTTGATGTGCTGAATCAAAAAGCTACTCATTACAGTGGCCCAACAGTACCATCCAGAAGTTTGGACTTAAGTGTACATAAGGAAGAAGACAGAATAAGTCTACAGGCTGTTGTTGTCATTAAAGACCTGAACATAGAGCAAAAGACTTGCTGGTTTTCTTACTGCAGAGTCATATGAGATTCTCTCCCAGGGAAAATATTAAAAGTCCCCCACCCACCCAAGCATATTACCTTGCCCTCTAGGCTTTTTCAGCTTTTGGATGGCATATTTCATTTGTGTGGCGTAACCATTCATAAAGAGAAATTAGACTTTGGAACATAATAGGCGACTGGAAATGAGAGACACATAATTAACCACCTGAGGTGAAAGTTGACAGGTTAGCTTAGGGCAGTTACCAGGTGACTTTATCATAAACAGGTTATTGAAGTAGCATCCGCACACCATAGGCTCAGGCCCAAGGTTTGGGGAGATGTGAAAGGTTTGAGCATTCATGATGCATTTATAAAGTTAGTATTTGATCCGTAGGTGCAACAGACCTAATTGCTTTAGGTGGTTTTATCCCATCTCCAATATGGCACCCCTACCTTTCCCACAACTCGACAATTTCCAAATAACTCAGTTTATCTAGATCTCCAGTTCTGTTAGTTCGTAAATTCATTTGAATTGGATTATGCATAGTAGTAAATATAGGCTCACTGTAAGCCTTTCTGGAAAACCACTTCTTGCTTTTTCCCTTTTTATGTTATCTTTCTTCCTTTCATGTCTCTGAATAACCTATATCCTGTCTTTTTCCTTTGTGTCAATTGAATGAATACAGTAAAGAGGGGTGGCCATTACTCCAGTGCTTACTCTTCAGCAAAATCCCCAGGTGAGCCATGGCAGTTATGGCTGTGTACCAACACTTGTCTCCTACCTTTTCATTTTTAACCCTTCCATCTGCTTCTGTGTGCCTATTATTTTGCACTGTGTGTTTTTATGATTTGTAAAACTAAGACATGGTGAGTTTATCCTGTCTCTAGGTAGACCTTGGAAAGGAAGAACTTAGGCATCAGACACCTGTGGTTAGTATACAATGGAGCTAAATTTGTTAAGATATAAGCCGGCCAGTACACAAGTAGTACTGGGGGGGGCAGTATATTTAAAATTCTGTATGAAATGAGCAATATTAGCTGACAGCAATGGTTCCCAAAACTTAAATTCAAGTTTAAGTGTGGTATGGTATGCAAATAAAGCTCAAAGTTGAAGCAATGTCTTTTAAAACACTATGCCCAGTTATTTAGAGAAGCATGTGAGTATTAAGACACTAATTAACTTCAGCTAAGGACTTGTGGACTGATCCATGTACATCAGTTGCTTGGTCCATGGTGGCATCAAAGTTTGATGTTACCTGACTTAACAATGGGAATTTATCTAGTTTGCAATAGAAAAATGTAATTGAAATAAGCTGCCTTGCTTCTGCTCACAGTGAAAAAGCAAATCATTTTGTCTCCGTGTGTTTTTTTATTGTGTGTGGAGTTTGCTTGCTTGCCTTTATCCCATGTGCTCTTCTGGAAGGTAGGTTGCATATTGTGCTAGTCCACCATTTCCTCCCACTTGAACATAGCTACTGGGAGGTTATGAGGAAGTTTTTCATTTGCTTTCTGTGGGGTTGAGTATCTCTGTGTGGACCCTAACTAAGGAGTCCAAGAACCAAGCAGCGTCTGTATGATGTCCCTAATTTCTGGGTGATAATACAGTGACAGGATTTCAAGGTCCCTCTTGCAGCCCCAAGGGGGAGGAAATTCTCTTTCCATGTTGTAATGTTTTGTTTGTGGGCCAGGTGGGAAGCTGTGTTGCTTGGGACTCTGAGGCTGGCTCAGGTAATGTACACTAATACCTTTAAAGCACATTCAAAGCCCATTTCCCCCCTCAAATAACTTTGGGCACTGTTGTTATGGGTTGCTGGGAACGGTAACTCTGTGAGGGAGCAAACGACAGTGCCCAGAATTTTTGTGGAAAAATAATGGGCTTTGAATGTGCTCAAAAGGCATAGTGTGTCCACATAGTTTCAGGCTAAAGGGAGAATGCTACCTTGGAAGGATTAGTGTTAGGGAGCGTAATAATACAAAAGTGGGATAAGGTACATATGAACATATGAAGGTCAGAAACATGTGTTTTCTATAGGTAACTATTTTTAAAACACAGATTCTGGGGATGAAGTGAAAAAGGCAATAGAGTAAGATCTTCCTATTCACATAAATGTTAACTTCTTCTAGAACAGGCATGTCCAACTCCCAAGAGAATGCAATCTACTCCCAGTACAAAAAAGTTGTGGAGCTTTTTTGCTAGAAAAAGATGTGCTTACAATTTTGTGCACCGACAAAGCAAACCACTAACACCAGGGATGGGTGGCAGGGTCACTACTAGCCCGTGATTGACCACTAATGTGAGGCAATCGACTTGTTGGACATGCCTTTCTAGAACATCTTGGAAGCTGGTTCTTACATCTTGGTGGCAAGATGCTAACTTCTACTTATTTATTTACTGTATCTATACATAATGCCACAGAATAACAGTTCCCTGTGCAGTCGCATTAGCAGGTTGGCTCCTAAATATTAAAGAATTAAAAGTAAATTCCTTTTTAAAAGCAGCTAGTTTGGAAGGCTTTGTTTTCAGACAGGTTCATCACTGCAGGCATTCACACAGCAAAAACAATGGTGCCTGTTAAATGAATGTTCTGTTACCCATTATAGATATTCTTTACACAGCTGAAAAAGTGTAGGTGGTAACTAGCATTTCCATGGAAACCGAATGTCTAGCTGGCAGGCTAATTTTTTTTCTTAAAGGAGCAGCAGTCCTTAACTGAGCTGCAGTTGAAATCAATCTTGCTCTTTGGAAGATTTCCTCTTACTACTTCTTCCTTGGGAGACATGGAATATATTGTTCATCAGAGAGCCTTGCAAATAAGCTAATAGATGGTGCATATTAAGAGTCTTAAGTTGTGTGAAATGGTGGAACCCATTTCAGACTGAACTGAAGGAGAAGCAACGTATTTTCACATATATAGAAACCCCTCAAAATTAAAATATGAAATGTATTTGTATATTTAAAAGCATACTAATGGGAAGCTGTTTCTTGTCAAAAGCATGTTTCAACATGGAAGAAGATGCAAATAATTTTTTCAAGTATTTTATTTTTAAGAGAAATGATCACATAGAAAATAAGCATGGGTTTGTTTGTTTTTTTGCTTTTATAATTGTTCTTGGTAATTTGGATACAGTGTACTCTGTAATATATTAAACTGCTCTGTGGCCGTGATTATTTTTCAAGTACCCATTGGCTGATGTGACCTGATAACCTTGAAATGTTCACCATCACCAACGTTTTTAATTCATGGAAGAATGTACCCAGCACCATAGAATGTTGATATATTGCCATTGTTGAGTCAAGTGAAAAGTCATTTGGGCTGTGGTTGAAACATCACAATAGGCTGTAGGGACAGGGCAAGCTATGTAGACAAGATCGAGAGTCTGAACGCTTTGACAGAAGAGGTTCTGAGATGTAGAAAAGCTAAAGGATAGTGTGGCTAGATGAAGGGGAAAGAGTAGGCAGTGTGCCAGAAAAAAATGTGGCTTTGAGTAGGTAGAGAGAGGGGGGGAAACCAGTGATAGAACACAGCTGTGGAAAGAAATCTTAAGAAGGAAGGCTCAGCTGTGTGCTTGTTGGTCTTAGCAAGCCCTTGGTCACTGCATCGTGCTGCTCTTAAGATAATGCCTAGCTTTATGTATATTTTATTGCTAGCTGCTCTGTTTAACAAAGATTAACAGGATATTATCTAAAAGGAACATATCATATCTTAACAGGAATTTCAGCTTTTGTTTTATTGGTGATAACAACTTCTTTTCCTTCTTTTGCCCTTGTTATTCCCAATAGTAAACGGAGCTCCAAGTAGCCAGCTTTCAACTCCCAAATCAACAAAATCTTCTAGTTCCTCACCAACAAGCCCAGGCAGCTTTCGGGGACTCAAGGTATGTTTTAGAAAGTTTGCCCTATTTCAGCTTAAATACTAATTCTGCTTTGGAATATTGCCTTTGTGGTTGCAAGAAAACACCAGCTTCATGCTATATTAAGCAATGATTTTAAAAAAAATATTATTCCATTGCAATGTACAATGCATGAAAGCAGTTGCAGAGTAGTTAAAATGTAGGTTGAACCCAATATTGCAATGAGTAAAATAATCTATGATTCTGGTTTAAACTCTATCCACTGGCTTAGAGAGCTGCCCTAAATGGGGCCAAAGAGCAACAGGAGGCAGCAAAGGATCCACCAGCCAGGGTGGAAAGTGGGGGGGGGGTGACTCCCCCCATCAGCCCCAGGCTACCATTGCTAAGAAGCCTGCCCCTCAAGGATCCATGGGATGTAGTATCCAGCAAATCCCAAGCCTCTGGCACCCTGAAACTCCCCATTTCAGGGCTTGCTGCTGCCTACTACCCCTAGCAGAAATGAAAATGGAAGCCTACTGCCCATGGAGGTGAAGCTGGGCCATCTGCCATGGTACAGAAATCTGTCCCATAACAGAGCTCCTTTCCATTACCAATCCGTCAGGGGCCAGGGGCTGAACTCATAGTTGTTTTTAGTGAAATTGGTCAGTACAGTCAGTAAACTCTATCTCATCCTTCATTGTCGATTTTGTTTATTTATATACGTTTTTGTCAAGTGTGTACTTGACAGCTTGCAGCATTTAAAAATAAGAACAGTGTAGCACCATAATCGACTAAACCTTAATAAAAAAGGCCATGCAGCAAACCAAACACAGTAAAAACAAAAACCATAGAAAAAGGAATGCCGTTTTGCATGCTCAATTTGTTTATATTTAGTGCATGTCTTAAAAGACAGTCGGTTATTACGAGAATTAGGGTAGTTAAAATCCTTTATTTTATCTCTCCAGTATGCAGCTGTTTGGGTGTACACTTCAGCTGTGCTTTGTTCACTTGGGTTCTGAGTAATCTTAACTGATATATCTGAATTAGAACATGGCTTGAGACAATGCTTGTGTCTGCATCTGGAATGCATTCCCAACACCCATGCTTCTGGGAAAATGTCCAACAGGAATATATGCCGTTCAAATAATTTAACCCCTAAAATACAACAATTACAAGTATACATATCACTGAACAGTTGGATACTGTTGATAAAATTTTATTATGTATCTGCTTGAATTTTGTTCTGTTCACGTGCTGTCCATGAGGAGGAGTAAAATTAAACTTTTGTTTGTTTTTAAGTGACTTATTTATTTTATCCTTTCCTTGAGAGATCCCTATAACAACTGAGCTGTGGTTAGGATGAAATAATGTGTAGACTGGTCTCCTTGAAATACTTGGTTTCTGTGCACTGTCTGGATCATTCTGCCATGTCTCTTCATTTAGTGATGCTGAAGCTCAAGCTCAAGCATGGCAGAAGATGCATGTCTCCATCTTTAATTTCTGCCTTTCCCTCTGTTGTAACTTAGTACAGTGGTGCCCTGCAAGACGAATGCCTCGCAAGACGAAAAACTCGCTAGACGAAAGGGTTTTGCATTTTTTGAGTCGTTCCGCAAGACGAATTTCCCTATGGGCTTGCTTTGCAAGATGAAACGTCTTGCGAGTTCTTGCGAGTTTGTTTCCTTTTTCTTAAAGCCGCTAAGCCGTTAATAGCCGCTAAGCTGCTAAGCCGTTAATAGCCGCTAAGCCGCTAATAGCCGCTAAGCCGCTAATAGCCGTGCTTCGCAAGACGAAAAAACCGCAAGACGAAGAGACTCGCGGAACGGATTAATTTTGTCTTGCGAGGCACCACTGTACTCATCCTAGCAAAATTGGTAAGGAACGATCAGCTGAAAACCTTGCCTTGTCATCTCTATTCGGATTTATATCCTATACTTCATTTGAATTGCAATAAACTGTTGGTTGTTTTTTTAATTGTGTCAGCTGTGGGTTCTTAAACATGTTGATTTTGTGTGTACCTCCTTTTGCCTGTTACATGGCTTGGATTGCTAGAAGACTCTCAACTCATGCTATGCAACTTAAAAGGACTGGCTATCTACATCACATTCATGTAGTTTATTCATTCAAGTAATAGATTTGTTGTTTCAGAACAGTACTGCTTACCAGAAAAACACCACATCTCCGCAACAAATGTCCCTACTCCCCACCCCACTGCCTTAACTGGAAAGCCTACTTACAAGGATAGGAAATCAAGGGCTATAATTTGTGCAGCTTCGTTTTTGCTACTCAGCACAAATGCTGAATTGCTGATTCACTGAAAAACTTGGCAGCCGCCCCAATATAATTGCATCCAGAAGAATACAGGACAATGTTCTTTTGACTGGTCTGAAAGTGAAAGAAAGACAATTAGAAATTGTATTACTCTTGTTAGTTTTAAATAGATCTTGATTTACGTATGTCGGCAGCAACAACAAAAAATGCATCCAACAATTCTCGAATATGTTAATTCTCTAGTGCTAACGTCCTTTGAAAGATTTCATTAAGCCCAATAGACTCTTTGAGATGAAAGAGAAGAATTTATATCATATTAGAGTACTTGGCCTTCCTTACGGTTGGCCGAAGAGGCTAATTGAGAGCGCTTTGGGTACCCTTGCTGTCAGCTCCAGTAACCATGGAGTTGTGAAAGGAAGAAGCAGCACAAATATGTTAGGCTGTGCTGAGAATGCAGACTGTGGAGTTCTTTACCAAGCTAGGGGCAGGGGCAAAAGAGTAATTGACTTAAGCCAGCTGATTGGCTGAGCCCTGCTCTTCCTAACCAGCTTCTGGAGAGGAGAAACTGTGTACAACCCTGCTCCTGCTGGCCAGCATTCAAGACCATCTCCTTGCAATTCTATCTTGAGTTGACTTGTAGCTGGGGGTCCTCCATCTATGCAGGTGCTTGTCATTAATTCAACCTGCAAGTCATGACCAACACCAATCAGCCAAACTGCAGCATAAAACAGACTGCATGGAGTTGGCAAAAAAGAGGGGGCCACAAGGCCAATCAGAGAACACTGCCAAAATAATTCTATTCAGCCCTCCAAATCATAAGGCATGTAGGATGCCATGCTGAAAAGGACTACTCATGAGGAGGGAGCAGCAGTGCCTTTTTAGTGGCATCGCTTCCTTGCTGCATTGTGTGCCAAGTGCCAAGATGCTGCCATATTCCCCCCACCACGTGATCTTTATTTTAGAATCACATGGGACTGCAAATATACTCCCTGCTTGATATGGCGGAGCAGCTTTCGTATAGTGCCAAACCATAGCTTAGCGTTAAATGCAAATGTTGTCAATTAGGCTGAATAATGTAGTCGATTCTAGTGACTTGGAAAGGAGATAACAACATAGTACATTATCTAAAGATTACCATTGTTATTCTGTGTCCTGTGACAATTGACTGAAATTGAAAACTCTAAAATAGTTTAGGTTTTAATCCTAACCCCACATACCTGGTCATAAACCTCATTGAATTCAGTAGAATTTAGTGCTATGTAGACATGGTTTAGACTGTGCTGTTAGTTGTTTGTTATGTGAAAGATTATTTTCATCCACCCTAGTTTTAAATTTCATAGCCATGATACTAATTTTTATGAAGTGTTCTTTGCTTTTAAGGAAACAAAATCTGTGCTTTTAAACAAAACAACTGAACTGAGCAGAAAATAACTAATAAGTCAATGCAATAAATAGTAATCTATTTTGTCTGTCTTGTTTCTGGTTCTATTACAAAAATATCTTCTGAAAGAACTATGTTGTATTATTTTGGTGCAGGAGCCATCTAGGGCATCATCATCAACAAAAAATGTACAGATGTTGTTGCAGCCATCTTGCATATTTGTCTGGCAGACAGTGTTATTTTTGTCTTTCTTAAACTTAACTCGCTGTCAGTGATCTAGTTTGTGTTGCCTTTTGCTGTCTTGATGTAGCTCCTGTTGACTGCTTTGGGCACATATTGGTGTCCTGGGAAATCTTACAATAAAACCTGATCTGCCAGTTGAATTATTGTCATTATTGCTGGTGAAATGATTTAAAATATTTTGCTGCATAACCAGGCACTGAAAATGCTGACCTTGCATTCCCTTGTGCTGTCCAATATCATTTTGACAGATCTTGAGCTCAGGCTAGAGAAGTATTTTAAGCACCCTGTGACAAGTGATGAAAGTTCGTGTGATAATCTTTTAAATGAGAGTACAGTGAAGACTGAAAAGGGCAAAGACATTATCTGAAAGTGAAACAAGAAAACCAGGAGGGAGACAAAGAAGTTGGAGAGAATTTAAAGAGGGGAAACTTGCTAAGGGGAAACTTAGTGCTAGCTAAAAGAATTTCAAAACGCAAACTCTTCAAGGAGCAATCTTGAGACTTCCAAATTCTGCAAAAGCAGCCCATGTAAATATCATTTATCTGTCTGGCCTTCTTTGTGGTGCCAGATAGGTAGAAATATTTGTGTAAGCTGCTTCAGCTATGCTACCTAATTTCAGACTTTCAGATTGTTCTGGAAAAATTGACCTGTGTTGCAAAACACATGGAGCTGTAATAAAGCCTTAGTTGGCACTTTGGAGAACTATTAATTGAGAGTGAAAATTATGCTTGAAATTTATGTATTTATTAATTAAATTTGTATTCCTCCCTTCACCCATATATCACAGGGTGGTTCAAAACACAAAAATACAAAATGAAAATACAAAGTGCATAATAAAACAAAAGCAGAAGCAAAACAAACCAGTAATCCCCTTCCCACAGTCACATGTTAAAGGCCAAAAGCCTGGGTGAAGAGAAACCTTTTCACCTGGTGCCTAGAGATACGTAATGAAGGTACCAGGCAAACCTCCTTGGGGAGAGGATTCCACAAATGGGGAGCCACTGCAGAAAAGGCCCATTCACTTGTGGCCATCTTCTGGAACTCTCCTGGGGGAGAAACCTGAAGAAGTGCCTGGCTCGGTTTATATAGGGACAGGTGGTCCTTGTAGTATTGCAGTTGAGGGTTGTTTAAGGCTTTATAGGTCAAAAACAGCACTTTGAATTGAATTAGCAGCCTGTGCAGTTAAGCCAGAATCGGTGTAATATGCTCATGTCGTCTGAGCTTGGGCTCGTGGTTTGTTTCCCCAAAACAAAGCAAGCTTTGTTCTTGATTCACAGTATTTTGTCTGCCTATGGTTGCGAACTGGGTCAGTGACTGAGATCCATGAATATGTTCCCTGAACTGTCTAAAGATGGTTTGTTCTTGTTTTCAGCTCTTCTTTTGTATTCTCTGGATAGGCAGGTGACATTCTGGTTAGAAATTAAAAGGAAGACAATCTCTTGGGAAGCATTCAGTTACCTCATGTGCATCCCTTTACACTCTGTTGTTGCTAAATGGATCATAAGAAGTAATCAATTAGAAGTGAGAAGGTATCAACTACTTTCACATATCTAGTTACAGTGTATTAGAGACTTGGCACAAAGCAAATACTGTTGGTGTTGTATAGTGCAGGGAAAGTGGAGTTTGCGTAGTCTGATTTGAATGCAACATGTCATTTAAAAAACCCAACCAGCTACTTTACAGAGGTTGTATGTTTTGGCCATTGGAAATATTAGTAAAATTGTGTTTGGCTTTTAACAGATGATTGTGTAATATTAATTTATAGCACAGAAGGCTGTTGGATGTTTTTGTTCCTAATGTGATTATTCAGAAGCATAATGAACTGCTGAAGTATAAACTCTCACATTTTTTCACAGATTCCACCACATTGTGGGTCAACGTGCAATGTGAATGGTGTGCCTGAACTATCTCCTTGCCTGAGTCCTGAAAGTAAGAATGTGTATTTTCAAGTTCTTTTATGTTAAATGTCTGTATTGGAGATAATATTTCAGTCTAGAAAAATCAATTACTATTATTTTCTATTTTGGTAATATGCTTGTTCACACTACTGTATTGGTATTACTTTGCACTTTCCTATTAGGCCAAAGATGATCCATAGAGGTGAGGCTATTCATTCATTAATTCATTCGACTCATTAGAGCTTTTTACTCTAAGGTGTCTTGACACTGACCACCCCTTCGCATGCCAGTGGCAATGAAAAGAAATATAGCAGACTTTGAGATAGGATTGGGTTTGTATTTAATATATGTCACCAGGTACTGAATGGTTTACTGATAGAGCTGGGCCAAAATCTGCCTTCTCTTGCCCAGAAGTTTTCTACCCCTCTGAAAGGGGCCTCCATTTTCCTGCAGCATTCTCAGGTCACCTAAGGATTTATGTAGAATGTTGGTGGTTACAGAATTTTGAGCTTACCTTAGGATTGTGAGGCATCCAAGGCATGCCTTTCCTTTCCAGTAAACATTGCTCTAGCACTCTGCAACCTCCCCCTGTCTATACTTCCTGATCTTAAAAAACCCAAAATATTGAAATAGTTACTTCATAATGTCTTCCCCTAGTCTTCAGTTGAAACATGGGCACCTAGGAAGTCTGCAGAAGCCAGACAACTGATGAGATGACAGACCCTCCAAGTGTCCCTATTTTCCAGGGACGTCCTTGATTTAGAAAAGCTGTCTTAGTTTCTGATTTGATCCCAGAATGTCCTGCTTTTCCTTAGGATGTCCCTATTTTCATTGGAGAAATGTTGGAGAGTATGGAGTTATTCAACTCCCGAGCTGTCTGAAATCCTGTATAGGGAAACTTTATTAATGTTTAATGTTGTATTATGTTTTTGTATATGTTGGAAGCTGCCCAGAATGGCTGATGCAACCCAATAGGATGTGTGGGGTATAAATATCATTATCATTATGGAATGGGATGTCCCTAATTTCATCAGATAAATGTTGGATGGCATGACATGATTTGTAGAATAAATAAAAGAAAGGACACCCACAAGACTTCTTGGCCACCACAAAAGAAGGATAAGCATGACCAAATACCCTGAACCTCATCCATGAGAATTTCACTTAATATGTTTTATTTCCATGTGAATTTTGTTTTTCTGAATTGAAACCATTTTCTCATTAATTGTGAGAGAGATATTTTTAACACCATTAATTATTAACTATACAGGGGAGAAGTGTTCCAAATTGCTCTGGCAGAAGAGTTGCATCACACAGGGCAATTTATCAGTTAAAGATTAAATGGAGATGTGCTGGCCATTTTGAAAGGGAAATTTTAAGTTATCTTAACCTGCTCTCCAAACATCTTGTGGTATTCTGAGTTGTCGTTTTAATGTTTATATTGTACTTGATTTGCAATGGACACACAAAATGTTAGCCTTCATTTACATAAAAACCAATTTAGAATATTTCACTTTCGGTAAGCACACCTTGAGATAAAAGTACATATTTGTAAAATTTAGGCAGCATTTACAGGTATTGTGTTTTAATGCTAAATTGTATCCTAGCCTGAGAATGTGGAGAATGGTAGATACACATCCTATCTCTGCTGAGTAATTTCCCTGTGACAGAAATTGTCATGAACGAATTCTCACCTAGATTAGGGTGATGCAGGTGACTGGAAGTAATAATGCAATATTTCATGTATATTATAAAATTATTTTATTCTTCAGTCTCGCCAGAACCCTGTGATATTTATGCCACTTAATAGCTCTGCAACAGAAGCTGAAACAATGCAGTTTGTTGAACAACAGAACTAAATGAAATGGTAGCTGGGTGTTGATCCTTACGTGGAAATGTTGCCGCCTTTTGGAATATGTAAAAAAAAAAATATTACATGAAAAATATGTTCGGATGCTTACCCTCTGATTTTCACAGCAAGGTCATATAGCTTGGATTAAGCCTTGCCAGCTATTTCTTTTTGCTTTAGATGCAAATGTGAAGCGACAGATACTTAAAATAACTGTTTTAAAAAACGATTTTGCAGCTTAAGATATAGCCCTACTGTAGGGTTGAGGTCAGTAAGGGACAATCCATATTGCTCACATCCATGTTTAGCTTACTTTTTGTCCTTTACATCTTGCAGGTTTGAATGGAAACAAATGCTCAGGGACATCAACTATTCTTGAGAAATACAAAGTGGGAAAGGTGATTGGAGATGGTAATTTTGCTGTGGTAAAGGAGTGCATAGAACGGTGAGCAAGAAAATTGCCCAGCTATTCATTTTTTACTTAGCTGCAACTTTCCCCTCCACTGTGCATTGAGCATATATTAGAAAATTGTTATATTTCACAGACAACCAGGTGCCTTTTGGTAAATCATTTGTTGTAAAATGCAAGAGTTCGTGTAGGTATCTATCTATTCCATATGTTTGACACCTCTGCCTGATGTCCACTTCATCAAGGATAACTAATAACCATAAGTAAGCAAACCCTGGTGTGTTGGATTATCAAATTAAACAAACGTGAAGGTCTTGGGAAATACACATTTTAAAAATTGCTCCACAAGTTTTTGTCAAGCATAAGAAAAAGCCGAGCCAATGAAAAAGGAAATGCATTCATTATCCATGCATTCATCTAAATGTAGACCAGAGGCGGCTGATCAAGTTTTTTTTTTAATTATTATTTTTTATTGTTAAAATAATACACATATATTACAAATATACAAACATACAAACATCTATTTCATACAGTCCTTAAAAGTGTTCAAACATACCTACACTCATTCCCACAGATAATTCCTTTTCCCATCACCATCCACCACCCCTCACCCCACCTTTGTGTTAGACTTCCAATCTACTCAGTTGCAATTTCTTCCCACTTCTATTACTTTCTTTCACACACCTTTAACCTAATTTCATACGTCTTTTTCTATTATACATTGTTATCCATCTTATTTAGTATTTCAGTATTTGAAACGGAACTTGTTTATTCTAATAGGAGTTCTGATTTTTCGATATGGTTTTGCAAGTATCTTTTAAACACCTTCCAATCCCTGTCTATCTTCTCTTTTGAGATCTTTCCAATTTCTCCCATTGTTTTGGATATATTGTAGTACTCCAATAATTTGGATCAAGTTTTTCTTTGATGCCCATTTCCATTATTCCTGAGGCTAGGGCTGATGGGAATTGGAGGCCAGCAACATTGAGAAGGCTACAAGTTAGCCACTCCTGCTCTAGATCACATTTCCATACGCACATTCTAGTGGAAATCTATATGGAAATATAGGTTTGGATACTAACTTTAAATAGTTCACTGAACAAAAGTGCAGCATCCAGTCCTCCCCTCTGCAGCCACATGCACGTAACTCTCAAAACCTCTCTTTTGAGAATCGGAGAGGCCCTTGAACAAGATGGAGGGGGGAGATTTGGGAACATGGTGGCGAGGCGATGGGAGACTTCCCTTCCATGAAGTTCCTTAAGTAAGCAATCTTAGGAGACCAAGGAGACAGGTGTCTGAAAAGGGAGATTTAGCAAAGTGGGCATGAGAAGGAGGAACGGATCTAGCAGATGGTTTAGGGATGGAAATATGGAGGAAGATGAGGCAGGGCCAGCTGTGATGGGAGTAGGAAAAGAGGAAGCAAGGGAAGTTTAAAAGTTCAAATGGGGGAAGCAGAGGCCAAGGAAATAAACCCACATAATCTGGAAATAAGGAAAATAAATTCAGTCAGTCCTTATGGCCCTGCACACATTTTAATGTAAATGTATTAAGTACTTATTTATGTATTTATTGGAAATTCTCAGGAGTCTATTTTGAGTTCACCCTTAAATATTTTTTATAGTTCCTTTCCCCTGTCAAAAAAAAACACCAAAACAAAACAAAACACCAGCATTCCAAGCTAATATAATCAAATCCCTTACGACTTCTTCACTTACAAAAATATTAAGCAACTTTTTCTCAAAATCCTTCACTCAATACAGTGTGCTTATGTAAACCTTGCTATGTTTCCCAAGCCAGCTTTAAAAAGCAAATGCCCCTGGAGCTTTTACAATATTTCTCTTGCTTTCTGCTGATCCAAAAACCCTTCAGGCAGGACGATAAATCTAAGCAGTATACAGCTTGAAAAACTTAGATACTAATGGAAACAGAAACTTTCCCTGCCAGAAATCGGGAAAGTAATTGGGTGATAATTACAAACAGTGAAAAGACAGAATAATAAGTTTTTATCAGGTCTAGACCCTATCAAGGCAGAAAAGGCTTGGACATGGAACCTAGAGACTTCCAAGGAGGAGGGTTTCTGTTTTGGTTGGGTACCATAGAATGCACAGGCAATGCACCTGAAATGGCACAATTTGTATTGTTGCCTCTTTGAGGACAGCCCCTGTATAAAAAAGAGGAGCTCACACCAAATGGAAAAGTATTCATGAATGATAGTAATATATATAATCAAGTTACCATTCACACACCCAGTGTTAGTAGTTGCAGTGAACTCTGTCCAGTTACTCTACAAGTATGGGAGACTCTCCACTTCAGACAGTCACCCCCCAAGTCATAGAAGGCAACAGTGGCTAGCGTACTGTTCTTCAGTCATGTGAATGGGCCCTACGTTTCAATGGAATATTGCTTTTATAGGCTACTACAATTCAAATCGTCATTAGACTAACTTGTGCATAATTGTCCAAGTATTCAATAATAACTGGCTCTTACTGAAAAACCCTCCAGTTTAAAAGTAAAGGGCAGCTTTAGAAGTATAGGGTTATTCTGGAGGTGGGAGAACTCTTCTAATGTTGCAAGAGCTTCTCATGTGAAAAGAGAACTTTAGCACAAAGCTTCCACGAGCACAAAGTGTTGCGCAATCTCTTCAGCAAGGCCTTGTACAATGTCTCATACCTGTGTTAATACTATCTTACACAAAGTCTCCCTCTAGTTCAGCAGTTCACAGAACACTGCCACTACCATAATTTACCTTGTGGGATGCTGGATCCAATGGGCTATGTCCTATCCCATTGGCTCCAGCATCCCTACTCCCAAATCTACACTTCAGGTAAGACCAATCATTCTATTTCTTCTGTTTGCACACTTCTGGATGCAGCCCACTGTACTCCCTTCTCAAAATACTGCTCAGTCAGATACTGCAACCTCCCTTTTGTCCTCATCTGTAGCCAGTTGTAACTATGACAACTTAGCAGACGCAGCTATGCTTTCACACCAGGGATGCTTTGCTGCACTGTATTATTCCATAACAACCATCCTTACTAAATGCAATTCCAGTGCTATATGCTTGTACAGCATGAAACTGATTATACCTGAAGCAAAATATCTTCACCATTATTACTGCTGTAGCTGCTCAAACTAACTGGACACTATTGACAGTATTTATTTATTTTTAAATCCTGCTGCTGTCAAGAAGTCTTATACAGTAGGAAGGAATGGGGGTGGTGCTACAGCTGTACTGTATGAGCCATTTCACACATTACGTGGGTGCAGACCAGTGTAATCGTCTGTACTCCTGGCAAAGACTTGCCACAAAACCTTGCTTTTCAATGAATGTGCAAATTCTCTCATGTACTAATTACTTTATTAAGTGTGCCCTTTAAAACAAACAAACAAAAAAAAACCATCCTCAACGGAAACCTTTAAAAATGCAGGGTGTGGTGAATTGCATTCTCAGTGAGTTTCTAGTAAAAGTAATTACCAACCATTGAGTCATTTTCATTTGAGCATGCCTACAAATGGGGTTTCATGTTGATGAGATAATACTACATATACTCAGAACCATAATGGCTATGTCTTTCATTCTGTGTGATCATTTTAATGGACACTTTTGCAACCATTTTGAAAGCCATGTACCATAAAATATTTTTAATGTTATTCTTTTGCTAAAGTCTTATAATACTAGATTTAAAATGCTTTCACCTCTTAATCCTGCAGCACTTAAACATGGAAAATAACTATCCATTGTAGTTTTCAGGACATGACATTTAGAACGGCGGCCGCAGACTTCTTAAAACAAAATTTCACAGAAATAGGTAGAATGGCCACAGAATTTTTCTCCTATAGGTTGTCTTCAAATGATTTTTGTGGTCCAATAAATTTTATACTACAGAATAGCTGATCTAATTTTGTTTAATAAAAAAAAAAAAGTTAAAATGAACCTTTCTACCCCTGAGACTTTGAAATACCAATCCTGTAAAAATTGCCACATGACTGCCAGTTAAAGAGCTGAATGAAAGGTACAGAACATCTAACATTAAATCAGGGACAAAATGCGACACATTAGGTCACACTTGAGAAAATCATAGTAGAAAGCCTGCGTTTGGTAGTCAAGGCAACAGCAGACATGACTTGCTGAGAAACAAAATAAAAGCAGATATACCTTCTTTCTGTCATCTGTTCACATTGATGAAAGCAATTTTATCATCACTGTACATTCAGACAAAAAACCCACATGTTGAATAAATCCTTGCATTTCTGCCTGATATTCCTCTTTTGTTTCTCTCTTTGTAGGTCTACTGGGAAGGAGTATGCACTGAAGATTATAGACAAAGGAAAATGTTGTGGAAAGGTATGAGAGAATATAGAGCTATAGCATTATAAGGTGGGGAGATGCTTCCATAGTAATCTTACCTGATTTCAAGTAAAGGCAGAATTATAGAGTTTTAAACTCACAGATAGTTAATTTGTCAAATTCGGCTTCGCTTACAAAAAGTATTTAAATTTACAATTCATCTGGGCAAATCCCGCCAACCATGTATGTATATTAATTTTGTAGAGCTGCATCGATATTCACAAAAATTATGCTTAGTCAGATGTAACAAAAAATTATGCTTAGTCAGATGTAACAAAACATTCATCAAGATAGCATTTACATTGCCCGTGAATTTATTATTTGTAAGTCAGCAGAAAATGTGTCTCATCTGCATCATTAATTTAACAAAGACAAAATAATGGATGCGTGTTTGGGTTCAAACCAGCATCACTAGGACAACAGTGGGAAATTCTAAAGTGCTGCTTCAAAGGGATTGAAGTTTATGTTCTATATAAAGAAAATGCATTAAATATATGGATATATTTTGCTTCAGAGTCTTGAGAATGAAGGTAAGTATTTTGGAGTAAAGGTGTTTCCAGAATTCACCCATCAGAATTTGCCTTTAAAGAGTTGCAATGTAATGCACCTTGCAGACCACAATAAGAGATTTTCACATACCAGTCCAGCTTTTTAAATCAGTCCTATTTTAAGAAAACAGATGTTTTATCAGTGTTCTTTGTTTTATGTATTTAAAAATAATGTATACCAAGCTGCAGTGTAAATCTCCAGATGGTAACCACAGTATATTAAAAACCATAAACAATGTAAAACAACAAATTTCAGAATAAAACACACACAGTAGAGAATGCTTAAACAGTCCAAACTTTGAAGTCATAATGAAAGCATAGCAGGAAGGATGTCATGCTGTCTTTCATGAGAGGACATTCCAAAGTTATGGGGCTACGACAGAAAAGACCCTGAACTTAATTTAAGATGATAATTCTAAGCACAGCCTCAGTGATGCACGGGGAAGGAATGTTCATATGTGAAGAGACTTTACTGAGGGTAGTTAGAACCAAGAGCCTTTGATATTTTCATGCAGGTGAAAATATTTGCTGAAAGGGGCATCTCTTCTTCAGCATAGTTAAGACTAACAACTGTTTGTTTGGTTCCAGAAGCTTCCAAACTTCTTGCAGCTTTGCCAGAGGAGAGGAAGAACATTAAATCCCAACCATCCCAATAATCGCAGACAAAAATACTGATGAAGCTATCTTCAAAAGCTTCTCACTAATTGTCAGCTGCTACTTAAACAATAGTTCACTAAATCAGCGGCACCATGCACAGTAAATTTAAATAATCATTAATAGGTAACACTTTAAATATCACTAGTCTGTAAATTTCACACATTATTTGATATTTATTATATTCCTCCTGATACACAGTTAATTTAACTAAATATAATAAATCCCCTCATTTTCTCAGTTGATCTGATTTATTTTTTTAAGGTTTATAACTATAAACCATGTTTTAAAAACCCATTCATATTTTGTTTTTCTTTTCTCCAGCACACAGTTGTTTGGAGCAGACATATATGTTTGTTCCAGAAAGACTTTTGATGCTCTCACATATTGGGTTTCAAAGGTGCGATCTGTTTAAGCCACGTCTAATGTGCCACATCTTCACAGGAGGAAATGCACGCTCAGCATGTGGGTTTTTTAGTAACTAAATAGTTAGGGTAAAATTATCGAAACTTCACAGATTTGATGCAAATTGACTTCCCAAAGCCATTTGTTCAATGGTATTTTATGGTGTAGGACAAATCGCATCTAATTTTTCAGGCACTGCTCATGTTCATCAGTCATAGAATGCTCACATGTACTTCCCGCAGGGTTTTCCACAAATGCATGAAGTGCATGTTGTTAGAATGTTTGTACTGTGATAAAGGTGAGGTTTCTGGAATAGTTGTTTTGGTGTCTTCCATAGTGTTACAGCAACCATGGTTAACTGTAAAATAAAGTGGCTGGCCCTCCTGGAGTATACCCAGTTGGTTTCTTGTAACTGAAAACGTCTAAAGATTTACCTGATTTAATCAAATGGCATGCCTTGTTTTTCATTTTTAAATCAATTTAATGAGGAACATTTTGGAAGCCCTTGGTAACAAAGGATTTATTAAATTGTTGAGCCTATACCTATGTTGCTTCACTAGAGATATCTCGATAACTACAGTGTAAATGTTGCGGAGAAGAATAGTGGTGGAAAGCTGCACTGTAGGAAGCTGCTTTCTCATGTGAAAACTATATCTTAAAGCCACATTGTTACAAGGAAGATTTGTCTTGGTTTGTTTTTCCCTTCCTCTCCTCTTCCTAATAATAAATAGGAACACTTGATTGAAAATGAAGTCTCCATACTGCGCCAAGTGAAACATCCCAATATTATCATGCTAATAGAGGAGATGGATACTGCAACCGAGCTCTACCTGGTGATGGAGTTGGTCAAGGTGAGAGGCTTTCCATCACTGAATATGAAGATACTGAAAGTTCCAGGGTCCAGTACCTATGCATAATAGTCATGGTACAGAAAACAATGTTGGGACGCCATGGGACTTTCCTCTCCCATCCCAAAGTAGTTCCCAGCCCCTTTTGAAATTCCTGTTCAGAGTGATAGCTGGTGTTCCTATGTGCCTTAACCTGCAAATTTTGTAACATGTGAAAATGATAATTATTTCTGAAGTCTGAGTCTGGCACATATGATTGTTATATACATTGCATTTACATGCTAAGTTATCATGGATATCCAGATGTAGAAATTTGCTGCGCAATCATGTTATGTTTCTGCACTGTTTTAAAATTGCAATTTAAAATTAATATTAGATTGGCATGTAACCACCTATGTATAGCATAAACAGCCACCACATTATAAATTTCCAGGTTTCCTTTCTCCCTCAATTTTTTTAAATGTAGGAATTCTTTATCCAGTTCTTATTTACTTTCAGATTTCACTTCACATTTGGCAGAAGTAGCCCTTTAAAGTTAAATAAGAGCATTTTTGTGTCCAATTTATTTTTCTTCATATTTACCTCTGCTAGAAAGCACATTAAAAAGAAAAAACCTTTGTTGTTTGCAATCAATGGTTGAGAATTGTCAGACTTTAGAGACTTATGCCAATGAGGCAGGTCCGCAACACATGTAATGCCCATGAAAAATGTCTGCTAAGATTTCATTATTTTATATTTCAATTGAGACTTTTGTAGATTTTATTTTTTAAAAGCCATTCTTATATCTCCCAGTGAACATGGCACAGGGATTTTTAACATTCATAAGGGATTTGCCGTCTAGTATAATGAAGTTAGGTGCTCCTAAACTCCATTAAAATCATGCACTGTGGTGCTTTTCTTAGAAGTAAGCCCTACTTAGTTGAACGATATTTCATTTACCAGCAAGAGTGCATAGGAATGCAATGTTAAGCACACAGTGAGCATTCTAGTTCCACTCATTTTGGTGAGGTTTAGGTATGTGCAACTTTCACCCTATTGCTTCCATTGTGATTTCCCCAATATTGCATAATGGGGGGAAAATCTGATTTTCCTTCAGCAGTTATAAAATATGATGGATTTTGTTTTGTTTTAATTATTTGATCCTCCTGACCATTACAGGGAGGAGACCTTTTTGATGCTATCACGTCTTCAACAAAATACACAGAGCGTGATGGAAGTGCAATGGTCTACAATCTAGCCAGTGCACTGAAATATCTCCATGGTCTCAGTATCGTTCACAGAGATATCAAGCCAGAAAATCTATTGGTATGTTGCCTGTTTCATGTTATTCTCCCATCTCTTTGCCATGTTAATGCAAATTCATACCTATATGTTAAGTGCTGAGAAGCAAAGTGTGTGTGTGTGTGTGTGTGTGTGTGTGTGTAAAGAAACACAAATAACAGTGTGCCTAAATTCTATCTGCTTTCATAAAATATTGAAAACAATCTATAACAATACTTTTCAGTTTAAATATTACATTGTTAATATTACAGCAACAATTTGTTGTTGACAACGGACAGCTGGACATATAAAGGGCTCCATTACCTTCAATAGCTTAGGGGCTCATCAAACCTAAATCCAGCCCTGGTTATATAACATCTAAACAGAACCCATCCAATAATCTGGCTGCTTAATTTTGAACCAATTGAAGTTTCCGAGTCATCTTCAAGGAAAGCCACACCTGCAGCATATTGCAATAGCCTAATACAAAACATGAGAAGATCTGTGTTAATGCTTCCACTTCCCACACGTTAAGAACATTTGAAACCAGATCAGAAGGCACCATGTGAATCTCCCTACACAAAGACATACATTTGATTTGATAGCATTTCTAATAAATGCACTTAAAAAAAGCTTAGCTCTTGCCTGACGGCTGAAGTAATAAAGTGGGACTCGAACACAAACAAACTTCAAAGTGCTATTTCTTGCACGTATTTACTTTAAATTCAATAAGGTGTGCTTTTTTAGCAAATAAGTAGCAAATTAGCTGACAGTGCAGTCCTAAGCAGGTTTGCTCAAAAGGAAGCTGGTTTTAATGGGACTTGTTCTCTAACAAGTAAATCTGCTTTGGGGGGTTGGGGAATGCTGGATGCAGCACAGGGAAAGGGAAATCAGGGGACATGCCTCCCCTTCTCTTTCCACAGTTGGAACCATCCTGAGCAAAGCTATGTTTAGGGGATGGAATCACTGTCAGTGATTCCAACAAACTCTGGAATGACTTGACATGAAATCCAGACATGAGACTATATAATATATGAGGGATTTCTATTTTGTTTTGCCAGGAGAGGGATATTAGGAGAGATATACAGGTAGAGAGAGACAAACAGCCCTTTTTTGTAAGCAAGTTTTCATATATGAATAGCGAAAGTGGTAAAACCAGTATCTATTTTGTGAAATATTTTATCTCTTTAATAATGTTCCCAGTACAAAAATATCCTTAATAATAACTTAAAGCAAATTTAATGTGAACATTTTAATGCTTATGCTTGATTTGTTTCTCTGTGTGGAAACTGCAGCATGCAAGAACTGAGTGCTCACTTACAGGTACAGGCTGTGATTCACGATTGTTGATCCTGTCTGCTTTACAATAATAACAATGACATCAGGCACTTAAGTGAGTTGAAGCTCTTGGGCTAATCTGACACTTTAAGCTCTCATTAGTAATCAAATCAGGTATAAATAGGCACAGATGCACTTTTCACTTAGAAAGCCTAAAGAGATTACTTGACAGATGCCATGATTGGCATTGATTTGCAGGTTGGAATGACATAGTAGTTCTTAATGTAAATTATTTCTCATCATTGAAATACATTTAGTTGCTAGATATAATGTCAGCCACTTGTCTGATTTGCATTCAACTTTACCAGTTCTTCATTGCTATATGCATATAAAATAATGGATCTTATATGTGATGTTTTGTCAGGAATCATGAGGCTTTCTTTTATGGCTGTGAGGTACTGCAGTGCATTACATTTTTGTTTATTTAATGAAAAAGGCTTTCTGCTAATAATTGTTCCCAAGAGTGATAAACAATCAGAAAAATCACCAATAAGAACTCACCCAATAAAACAATATGATATAATCCAGCTATACATAAATTGCAATATAAGAAATTCTAAGAATTATTCTTATAAGAAATCATCTTAAAAATATGCAATAAAAAGTTTAAACTAATCTTCTAAAGCAAAGTAAACATTGTTACATTGTTGAGTTCCTGCAGCTGTTTTAGCAGGGGTCTTTGGGTCTTGGGAGAATGTCCTTCTGTTATGTGGGGAAAGGGCATTGTCATGAGTTTGAGAGTGTCAGACTCCTCTAAATTTCTTGATCCATTAAGTGTTAGAATTTTATCAAGGTCTGGGGTGTTAAGATGGGTGCCAGACTTCTAATCCCTGGATCTAGCAAGTGTTAAAAGCTCGCCTCCTCGGTGATGGGCCATTGCAAGAATCAAAGGGGCTCAAGGGGCTCGTGTGAGATGACAACTGGCTCCCTCAACAGATAAAGCTAGAGTTTAGAAAGTTATGTGAGCTAGAAGCTGGATTCAAAAAGCTGCAGGCTGGAAAGGCAGAGAGAGAGAGAGGGGCCATGGCTGTGGGAGAAACAAGGCCCTTTTGAGGTAGAAGCGTAGAGTTGGAAAGGACCCTAAGGATAATCTAATCCAAACCCCTGCAATGTAGGAATATGCAGTTGTCCCATATGGGGATCAAACCTGTGACCCTGACATTATCAGCACCATGTTCTAACCAACTGAGCTATCCAGCTTGGAATTTGTCAGTTTTGTTGATGATGGAAACCCCACCATCGCAGACTCAGGTTGTATATATGTGTAAATTAACCATATATTATAAAGACACCACAGTCTCCTCTGTGCCTCATTTCCAGAAGAAAACATGAACCCTGGGTAAACACCAATCGTTTTTCATAAGGCCTGGTTTCCAGACCCTTGATCACCTTGGTTGTCCCCTTCTGCACATGTTGCAGCTTGTCAACATCCTTCTTAAATTGTGGCACCCAGAACAGGACACAGTACTCTAGGTTTGGTCTGACCAAGACAGAATAGAGCAGGGCTATTACTTCCCTTGATTTGAGCACTATACTTCTGTTGATGCAGCCTAGAATAGCATTAGCTTTTTTAGCAGCTACATCACACTGTTGTCTCTGTTGCACCTGCATGATTATCTTTATCTTTATTATGTTGCTAACTAAGAAAAAAGGCACACTGGGCAATTAAACAGGCATATTTTAGAGATGTAGTTGATCTATGGTATGCCCATTGGAACTATATGCCAAATGTTTTATGTACTTTCTTTTACTTCTTCAAAGAGTTCCCTGACAGTATAGTTCAGAAGTAAGTAACATAAGAAGCTCTGTAAGGCCTTCTAACACTTCCCTCAGAATATCTTCCCCACCATTTGATTCTTAGTCATCGATTTTGTAACCAAATTTGACTGTTAGACTATTTACATGCTTAAGTAGGCAGCTGCTTTAATTAGACTTATCCACAGACTTTGCTAATTCCACCCACCCACAAAAGAGACTCTCCACAAAAAAACAATTGATTTGCTTTTACAGTTACCCATTAAAATTCCTTGATAATGGTGCGTTGAAGATGAGAGCCTGTATGTTTGCAATGTATTAAGACCCAGGACACATCGCAGTCTCACTCAGACTGGGTGACCCATCTTCCCTCCCTTGGGTTTTGAGTTAGCCCAGGTGATAACTGATTGCTCTGAGGGCCATGAAACATTTTTTTTTCATGGCATCTAGATTGGCTGGGGAGAAGCATCTTTTTCACCTTCTTTGGAGTTCCAGCTTTAAAGGATAATATATAGCAGCCCTTTGTTCTGGACAGAATATTTTTTTGTCACAAGTTTGTTGGTGGGTGGAATAGTGCATGTGTTCATGAGAGAGTGTGTATGTGTTTATGGCATGTTTGGGGTGAAAGGACGAGTGTCCTAACAAACTAGCCACGGCACAGGGCACCAACATAGAGTTGCAATGGGAGGTGCTTGTAACAGTCACATAGCCCTGATTGCTAACTGCCCTGCAATGTGGGGGCAACTGCAAGGTTGGAACCTGCTTTTACTGACTCATGGGACCCAGCACAGGGTTTTCCCTCGGGAAGGGCACTCAGGTGAAAGCAGCATGGAAAGCCAGGCCAATATATTGGAGGGATAACTGCTTAGGTTCCTGTTTTATTCTGTCTTACGGATTTTGGATTTGATTGACATGAATGCAGGTTTAAATAAAATGGTAGCCTTCATATGCCAATCCAGTGTCTGTCTCATTCTTGTCTACTACAATATTACAGTGGTACCTCGGGTTACAGACGTTTCAGGTTACAGACTCCGCTAACCCAGAAATAGTATCTCGGGTTAAGAACTTTGCTTTAGGATGAGAACAGAAATTGCGCAGCAGCAGTGCAGCGGCGGCGGGAGGCCCCATTAGCTAAAGTGGTGCTTCAGGTTAAGAACAGTTTCAGGTTAAGAACAGACCTCCAGAACGAATTAAGTTCTTAACCTGAGGTACCACTGTATTGTTATTAGGTCTTAAGTATTTACATCACTTGCTTTCTACAAACTTGTTGCCACCTATTGATGAACATTAGAATGCATTTTCCACTTAGAATGACTGGAATGTGTTTATCTACTTGCATAGGGCAGGGTAGCATTTATATTGCACTTTCCCCCTCAATACACTTTGCATGCAATAATTCTTAGCAACAATCCTGTAAGGTATCGTCCCGATGTTTCTCCACTAACAAGTTATTATTCCTTCTCTGTTTTCTCCTCCCTTCACCCCTCCACCCCAGGTTTGTGAGTATCCAGATGGAACAAAATCGCTGAAACTAGGAGACTTTGGACTAGCCACTGTGGTTGAAGGACCCCTCTATACAGTCTGTGGCACGCCAACATACGTAGCTCCTGAAATCATTGCAGAGACAGGGTGAACATGCATTATTAAAATGGGGTTTCTTATTATTGTGCTTGGTGTAAGAAAGTGTGTGCGCAGATTTTAATATGTTTTAAGAATAGTTATAGAGTGGTTGTGTATAGTTGTTTGAACAGGAAATATATTTGAAATCAGTGGGTTGTATCCAGCTAAGCTTTACTTGGAGTAGACACATTAAAATTTATAGACCTAAGTTAGCAATGTCTGATTTCGGTAGGTCTACTCCAAGTACAACTAATGTTTGATACGAACCCATTTATCCTAAGGCCCTATATAAACAGGTATGTGCTTATGTAGGCTTGATTCAGGTGTTCTACCAGACTATTGGGTTTTTTCAGAGGCTTGCAGAAGCCATAGTCTTCTGATTAAATGGAAGCCATAGGCTTCAGATGAAATGGAAAACTTTGGTTTGGCAAAACCGCGCAAGTTACTAATCAAGCTGAAGATGTGAGAGGAGGGATAGGAAGAAAGGAGTTTGTGAACACCAAACCATCATTTGACATTACATCTGAACAAAGCCAAATATTCTTTTCACATTGGATAATATATGGAATACCATGATTTTGAGTATCTGAGATACAGACAATAGACATTTTATTATATTCCATATAATAATATGGACATGTATTCTATATAATAATATCTGGAACAAATTAATCTCAGCCTGGTCTTTACTTACTTCTAGGTCAATAGCAAGCTTTGTCAAGCTTTGCTTGAAAATTTGCTGTTAGTGTGCTGCTAAAATTAGAAATTAAAATGTCACGAACCAGTAAATTTGTATAAACCTGAAAACCTCCTGTGCAGAATCTTGTAGTGCATATAGAGGAAGTACCTTAAAGATGTCATTACCCCCCCCTCTTTTTTTACAGTTATGGCTTAAAGGTCGACATTTGGGCTGCAGGTGTCATCACATTCATACTGTTATGTGGATTTCCACCATTTCGTAGGTAAGTAGTATGAAGTGACATTTAAAATGGATGATCTGTTTCTCCCTATGCTACATCACTTTCAATCTTTAAATTATAAATATTATAAATACTGTTTCTTCTCTCATATTTCACAGGCCATATATCTCCTTCCTTCCTTCCTTCCTAATTCTGTTAAGTGTAATGTGTTCAGTTTATATGCCATCAGAATATTCAGAAAGAAGAGCAATATTTGTTACAGGAAGAAATGAATAGGCTATATTGTTTGTCAAAGGTAGGCAGGCAAGCCTCCCAGCATCTTTGTCACCTTGTCCTTGAGTCTCTTTCTTCAGAACCCATCTATTGTATTAAGCATGCAGAGCTTGCCCTCTAGTGTTAGAACTTGGACTTGGACATCTTATAACTATAATCAGCATATTGTGTTAGAACATTCACGTGTCTGATGTCTTTAGATTCCCAATTTTCATTTATTACAAACCTTTCGGTGGTCAAGTTAGCTGGACTTCTTGAGGCACTTCATATATTCATCAAATATAGGGGCTTCCAGGAGTGCAAAAAATATTCATATTAGAGTCATAGAATTGTAGAGTTGGAAAGGACTCTGAGGATCACCAGTACTTCTCCCTACAATGAAGAATCTCAACTAAAGCATCCATGACAGATGGCCATCCAGCCTTTGCTGTAAAACCTCCAAGGAAGGAGATTCCCACCTCCCATGGGAGTCTGTTCCAGTGTTCCACTGTCAAACAGCTCTTACACTCAGAAAATTCTACTTGATGTTTAGTCGGAATCTTCTTTCTGGGATCTTTTGGGCCTTATCTCTGGAGCAGGAGAAAACAAGCTTGATCTATCCACCATGTGACAGCCCTTTAGATATTTGAAGATGGATATCATATCTCCTCTAAGTTGCCTGTTTACCAGGTTAAACATACCCAATTTCATCAATCGTTCCTCCTAAGGCTTGGCTTCCAGAGCCTTGATCTTCTTGGTCACCCTCCTCTGCACCCATCCCAGTTTGTTAATATCCTTCTTAAACTGTGGTGCCCAGAACTCATGTATAATCTTCCTTATTGATTTCCCCTTTCTTACGTTTCTTGAACATTTCCTTCTTACCTCTTGGCTCATCTCTAAGCTCCTTTTGCAGAAATGGTCCTTAGCCTCATGAAAGGCATCCACAGCCCACACAGCATAGTTCACTAATCAGAGTTAAACAAAAAATGAAATGTTTGCTCACATCCTGTAGGGCAGGAGTGGGCAACTTGTGGCCCTCCAGATGTTGTTGACAGTTCCTATCATCACTGTTCATTGGCCATGCTGGCTCTGACTGATGGGAGTTCAGCAACATCCAGAGGGCCACAAGTTAGCCACCTCTGCCATGGGACATGGCAATAGGAAGAGGTAATCAGTTCTGGTGAGCAAAGCAGCTTCCATAAATCAGTATACCAATGCAAAGGAGACTGAAATGTTAAGTAAAGGGTGGTATTCAACCAAGTTATATACAGAATAGAGCTATTGAAATTAATGACTAACTTAGGTCCATTAATTTTAATAAGTCTCCTCCAAACAAACTTAGTTGAATACCACCCAAACATTTCAGAGTTGTACCCCCACAACTGCAAACCTCGTCTAGCTGTTCCTGCCTTGAGCTGTGAGGGCAGGCTTCAGTTTCTGCACAATTGAATTCAGATGACTGTGCTCTTTTTAATCACAGAATGCTGTTTTATGTTTCATTTTATACATATTGTTGTTCACTGCCCTGCTATTTTATGATACGGCAGTATATAAATACTGTTAAAAATACTTTTATAAATAAATATAAATACTACTATATAAAATCCTGCACAACATATAATTTGAATCCAAGTGTGAGAAAATGATATGTTCCTTCACTGCTCAGGATGGGAGCAGCTAGAACAGGCTAGCATCTCTTCCCTATTTCGTATAATTGCCCATAGTAACCGACTGTTTGATGTGTAGGGAGAATTGTGCCACTTTAGAGCCACTGAGGTGTTCTGAAGTCTTTCACTGACAAGAAGCAGCCAGAAACCTGTTTTCTTTACTTGTATGGCTTAAATAAATTGAGTCCAAAGTTGTATAAGAATGAAAATTAGGGCAGAGTGATATGGATCTAATTGTTTGTTTAATTATCTCTATTACATTTATATTCTGAACAGTGTATTATATTTCTTCTTGGGTATTCTCTGAACAGAGAGCAGTTTGCAAATTCTGAACTAATCAATAAAAATAAATAAACATAACTTTGTTTTTTTTTAGCTTTCATAAATGATTTTTAAATTGATATGCTTTTTCTTCTTGGTTTTGATCCACAGTGAGAACAATGTGCAAGAAGATCTCTTTGATCAGATCTTGGTTGGAAAGCTAGAATTTCCCTCTCCATACTGGGATAATATCACTGACTCTGCTAAGGTATTAGGCTGTATTAATGATATTAAAGCTGAAGCTATGTTTTGGTTTTTGGTTTGGTCTTTGCTACCCAAACTGGTTGCAGAGTACGAAAGACACCAGAGCCATTGCTGGGAGAACAGACCAAGACAAATCGTTTCAATAGGGGCTCCTATGGTAATGCAGCTAGCTTGACAGCTATTCTTTCATTTGGATATTAAAACCTCAGCCACTGCAGTGGGACCAATTCAGTGAAGTGATTAAGGAAAACACTCAAGTTCACATTCTTTTCTGAAAGTCAAATGAGTGGTGGAGTTTCATACTTGAAAATTATTGGACAAATTAATAGGTTTTAGGTAATATGCTGACAGGTGCTCTGCTAAATCAGAGTACGAACTTATCTATATCAAAGGTCAGTAGAATAGGTCAGTAGAATATTTATGCCTAGATGTGGGCAACAATTGACTGTAATCATGTGACATTGAGGAGAATGTAATTAAGTTCACGTTTCATGCCTGTTTTGATTTATGACACAGTTGAAATGTTCCCATTTTTGTTTCCACTTTTGTAAAGTAAAATGAAACACAGGTACTAGGCTCCTACTTTCTAAATAAGAAATAGATGCTTTTCATTTGCTGTAGGGGATCAGGACCCCTTCCTTTGGGCATGGGCCTATATTGTAAGAATAATGAATTCTGCAGTAGTGAAACAGCAATATTTGTTCCTGGGCAAAAGCAATTCCACCTCCACCACCTCCAGTGTGTTCAGTCAATGGCAGTGTGATTTTTAGATGGAACGTGTTGCTATGAATATCATGGGCTTTGCCTCCCAAGAGGGAATTCCCGGTGCAATTCTCTTATCTCAAAAATATGGCTAACTTCTGACACAACCCTCTTGCTACAGCTTTGTGGGATGAGTGCTTCCCCATTTTAGAGTGTAACCACAGCCGTCAATATGCTTTTAAACGGAAGGTGAGGATGCACTTGAGGCTTCCTTTTGCGGTCTGCTTAGCATCCTTTCCCCAGCATCTGTGTACTTTATTGCTTCTGCACAGCCAGAAATAAAGCTGCCGAAGAAAAATCTTAATTGGGACACATACTTACTTACTTCATTAGAGACTATTTACCAAGAGAACGTAAACTCAAAAGTCTAGTGGGCATGAAGATCGAAAGCAAAAATTGTGACAAAAGCAGTCTCCCATTTTTAATACGACTATAAATTGTGCTCATTCCTTTCCTCATGTTCCCCCCCCCTTCCAGGAGTTAATTAGTCTGATGCTACAAGTAAATGTGGAAGCGCGATATACAGCCGCTCAGATTCTAAACCACCCCTGGGTGTCAGTGAGTAAATACTTTCTTATGTTGCATGTTTATGCAAAATTAATTCTAAAGAAGCCCACCCTGTGTTAAGTCCTAATCTTCTGAAATGCAGTTTGGCACATCTGCCAGCTAGGTTCTACCTTTACGCTGTTACTCCAAAGCCGCTTGCATAGTCTGACATGTGCTGCTGCTGTTGTTTTTTAATGCCCCAAAAGATCTTCCATCTAGTTGCATGGTCTGTATTTGAAGGCTTCAGAAGACATATGAGTACTTGGCGGCCCTTGTTTTCAAAACAACTGAAGTTTCTCTCAGTCAGGCCTGTGCAGAGGGGGAGGGCGGCTTGGGTACACTTGCCCCAGGCCTCAGAGTGCTAAACTGACCAGGGGCCCCATCAGGAATCAGCTGCTTTTTTGTCTGAGTTTTTATTCTAAGAAGACTCCTGCCCCTGGCCTCAGATAAACTCTGCACGGGCTTGCTATCAGTGTTGTGATTATGACAGAATTGTACTTCCATGTCAGTTTTCTGGTAGAAGGAGACATTTTTGTTGCTGGCAGAAGGTTGGCGGTTCGAATCCCCTCAACTGGGTGAGCTCCCGTTGCTCGGTCCCTGCTCCTGCCCACCTAGCAGTTCAAAAGCACGTCAAGGTGCAAGTAGATAAATAGGTGCCGCTCCAGTGGGAAGGTAAACAGCGTTTCCATGCGCTGCTCTGGATCGCCAGAAGCGGTTTAGTCATGCTGGCCACATGACCCGGAAGCTGTACGCCAGCTCCCTCGGCCAATAAAGCGAGATGAGCGCCGCAACCCCAGAGTCGGACATGACTGGACCTAATGGTCAGGGGTCCCTTTACCTTTACTTGATCAGCGGAGTCAGTCCTGACAGTGCCTCTAACATGTTGGGTGAGAGGAGGGGAAAGAGGCTCAATTTCTGGTTTGCACAATGCATAACCAGAATGGACAGAATGTTTAGCAGTATACAAGTAGTGAAAGAGCACTGGAGCCTGGCAGCTGATGCCTGATTTTGTTAAGCTCTCTGACTACATTGGGATGATTGCAGTGGCATGAGGAATCTGTGGTTTTCCAGAGGTTGTTTAACTACAGCTCTCACAAGCCATGACATTGGCCATGCTGACTGGGACTGATGGGAATTAGAAACCAATAATATACAGAAGGCCACAGGTTTTCTACCACTGCTGTACAGGTTTCAAAACTATTTTGAGCATTCACATATTCAGGCAAATACTCGAATACACCTTATGTGTCAAATGTCGATGGCAGCAAGCCTGGCTACATGGAGAAGCACTGCAGGGATTGCCTGGAGTAGAAACCTCTGTAAACCTTCATTTTACAACATGGGAAAGGCTGAATTTTTCTGATGAGGGGAGGGCGTTGCACGTCATGATGGTAAGGGCAGGGCTTGCCTGCATGCCTCTGCCCTCCTCCATATGTTCAGATTTCAATGAGTCCCTGAACATGCCTATTGTGTGTTGACATTTTAGTGAATCGCTGAAAAGAGGCATGGGTATCTGGGAAATAAATTTATTGTGCTTCATTTGAAAACTCTTAGTTCCACTGTGTTTTCAGTTTGTTACCTTTCATTTTGTAGTTCTTTTATTTTATTTATATCCTGCCTGTCCACACAAAGGAGCCCAGGGGTGGCAGTAGCATATACTGTAGAGAATCTTTTCATAGCCTGCATGTTATCATAGCATGAATTCATGATGCTCTCCAAAAGTCCATCAATTTCGATACAATCACAAGGCAGAAGGCATCTAAATATAAGCTCTGCATTGGATTAACACCATAGGACTAAAAAGTGCCTATCTGTGTCCCTTAGCAGCCACTGGGATTTAGAACTGTTTAGTTACAGTTATATATCACACCCAGAGATTTTTCCTTCTTGGTTTTATGTGGCAGAAGGCTCATAATGTGGAAAAGTTTGTGTGCAGGCTATTTCATGTCCAGGCTAATTTGTCATCCCACTCCAAAGAAAGAAAGAAAGAAAGAAAGAAAGAAAGAAAGAAAGAAAGAAAGAAAGGGGGCTTGCAATGCTTTTCTGCATGCTAAAGTGCTATTCTCTTTTTTTCTTTACAAAGGATGATGCCTCCCAGGAAAATAATATGCAAGCTGAAGTAACAGGTAAATTAAAGCAGCACTTTAACAACACACTACCAAAACAGAATAACCCAACCGCAGGGGTTTCTGTCATCATGGTAAGCAAATGCATCATTTTTATTATTTTACTAATCTACTATCAGTCACCTGCCAGCTCCCCCATACCACCCACCCTCAGAAATGCCATTATGAAATCCTTCCATTGAAAAAGAGCAGTGAATAATTTTGGTTGTGTCTGTTTTCCCCCGTGCTGTGGATGCATTTTTAAGAACAACACTTTAAAAGGAGCTGCTGACGTTTTTTGTGTTTAATATTTTTTGTTTTATAATTGTGTAATTTCACTTTAAGCAAACAGTTCAGACCTATTTAAGTCATCTGTTATCTTTGTGTCCAGTCACAGATAGCTTTCAGCTATTCCACCTGTGCTCTAAAGAATTTTTATTTCATAAAATACAGCATTTTGGCAATGGTGTTCTTAAAGATGCTACCTTATGTTAGCGGCTTTTGTTTGCACTGCTACACAAATATGCAGCACCAATAGACATTGTTATGCAGTAGGAAACCAAAGTCATTTTAGGTTTGGGGAAAATCCTAAGATTTCTGGAAAGAATTATGGTGGTGCCTTAGCCTATGGCCCTGTACTCACTTACCTCTAGGTAAAACCCTGTCATCATGGGTAAGCAAGAAGTATAAGATTGCCCTATCATTGTACATTTGTAGCTACCTATGTCAGCTTATGAATGACAGTTTAAAAAGTAGCATTTTATTTTAGAATGAAATACAGCAGTAGAAGGGGGGAAATACTTTAGACTGATGCTGTTGCTTGCATTTCATTTGACAGTTTGACTTGACAGTCTGAGGGGCCCCAGAACTTCATACTTTGCATTTTTGAGACTTATGGATAAACCTGAAGCAGAAACCTGGTATAAAATATATTATTTAACAGAGTGATTTTAAATTCTAACTCTTAGCTGCTCGCAAGTTTGCACGCCTTTAAGCTTGCCTCCAGTATAATGCAGTTTCTGGCTTCTTATTGGTGTGGAGTTTTCTAATCCTCTGGCCTGATGGTTTTGTTTCTAGCCAGTGAAACACACTGCAAACACTACTTACGGGTTTTCGTTGCCTTTTCTCCTTCCCTGCTGATTAAACTGCTGCAATACAACTGAGTAAATATGTATAGGGTAGTGAGAAGAATATGGAGATGTGTAGTGCTGACTATAGTCACTTGCTGCATTAATTAAAGGGGAAGGAAAAAGCCATGATGATTTTAGTATTGAGGTGTAGAACGTATACAATAATTTCCGTAGATGTTCGAAGCCTACCTGTTTGGCTCCTCTTCTGAACTAAATAGCCAACCTGTAATCACAGGTTGGCTTGTACATTACTAGGAAGTACAGGGAAAGTGCATTTCTTCTGTTCATGTTTCTGTGGCAAGGTTTGTAAGAGGAATTTGGCATCTCCTGTGTGGTGAAGCATGTGTACACTTAGCTCAAGGGCAACTTGCTCATCTTCCCACGAGAGGTGGTAGTGGTGGTGAAGGCATACATAAATTACTTTTTATCACACAACTGCAGAGGTGAACACAACTAGAAGGGTGTATGTTTTTGATTCTGACACACATTTTCTTTTGGGCTTCCCAGTTACGTGCAAAGATCCCCCCAGAACCTATTGCCAGTATTCTAGCAACTTGGTCCCATTGTATACTGTGAATGAACCATTTCTGTATATTTATATAAGAAATCACAGCATACAGGGGACAAACAGAGATGAGGAGAGATGCCATAACAAAGTCGTCCTCGCTTTTTACTTTTAGTATCTATCTTTATTTGTTATTGAGCCCTAAGAAAATACATGTTTAGGGAATGTGGTAAAATCATCTCCACATCTGTTCAGCAAGCATTCATTTCCTGTGTTCTGCTGTATACAGAATTGTCTTAATTCCAATTTATTTTCAGCTTTGCATCACAAAACAGTTCTTTCACTGAGATTTTGAGTTAAAGCAGACATGGCCCTCATGTGGTAGAAGAATGAAATTGCATCTTTAAAAAATACAATATGCTGTTTCCCCCTTGGAATCTTAAGATATAATGGGTTGTATCCAATGTCAGTCTGACTCGGGGTAGAGCCATTTAAACTGATAGACATGACTAATGACTACCTCGGGTCCATTAATTTCAGTGGGCACATTCTGAGTAGGGACTATCGTTGCATTAAAACCATTTACTTAACTAGTTCTAGTGCTACCTTTTAATTTCAGAATAGGGTTCTTTACGTTTATAAATGTTGCAATACTATTGGTTCTGCTTCAAGTAAGTCTAGTGTCTGTCCCTTGCTTTCTTCTTTTGCTTCCTCTCCCAATGCCTGCATTGCTTTCCTCTGAGTAGGTCCAAGGCAATGGTATGTACTAATTACGATGCTTTCTCGCTACATTAAAAATATGTTCTTTTTTTAGTTTGAAAGAAAAGGAGAAGTAACCAGATAGCAGTCTGAAGTGGGGATGTCTGTTAAGTGATGCAGAAGAGGCACATGGCAAGCTTTCATTGCATTTATATGTTTGCGCCATTTGTACCATTTCAGCCATGCATGGTGTTTTGTGTCCTGTGTCTTGGGGTACAGATTCTTTTTTAAAGTAGAACTTGTACTGTCTGCAGAAAGGGAAGATAACGGCTCTCCCGGGATGCTATGTGTTGGATTACTGATCCATAATCCCCAAACTGCATCACTACCACTGCCAACATGGTCTCGTGGATGTGCATTTCTGTGGTCACCCTCATAAAGCAGATAGAAATAACTAAACTTGTATTTTGAGGCTGTTTAACACACTCATGAGAATGAAAGCTTTCCCAGGTGGTACCATTTTAGGCTGCAAGTGTGTGGGGCAAGATTGTATGTTTGAAATATCTCCGCCCGCCCCCCCCCCCCCGCCCCATTTCATCTGGGACCTCGATGGTCATACGAAATTTGTATATCATGGGGGAAAGATTCGTCTTAGCTTTCACCCTGTTGTGCTAGTTCTGAATGTGAAGGAATTCTTCTAGTTGTGGGAATAACTACTCCCGCATCAGAAGCCTGACGTGGAAGAGTTTATGAAAAGCTTTACAGCTAGGTTCTGGTGACCTCCTTAGACGATAACCACAGCTCCACATTGTGTGGAGTGGTGGCATTAAAACTAATGCCCCATTGATTTCTATTTCTCCTCTAAGCATGGATTTAACTCAGAGTGTCCTACTTGCTGCCTTATTGATTTAGGGTGTATTCATAGGATGCAGTGTTTTCTGTACAACAAGTATTCTCAGTTATCCCCAGCTTCTTGTTCTGCCTAATTTGTTTGTGCAAACACTGGCATGGTCAATAGCCATTCCTGATATCCTTGTTGCTCATTCTGCACCACTGTGATTTCAGGATTTGGTGGAGACTATGTGAGCTTTAACCTGTGGATGGTTGGAGCTGCTCACATGAGGGGGGGGGGAGTATAGTATGTAGAAGAACACAACATCTTTGTAAGCATGCATATGTAGTCTTTGAAGTAGAAATAAGTCTAGCATTAAAAACTCATGTTACTTTTATATCTTGTCCTAAAGCATGTTAACCAATTCTGGTTAATGTGTCCTGAGCTATATGAGAAAACAATACTGGTAATGGTTACATACCTAGATATTAAATTGCAAGGGGACTGGGTATGTAGATGTTTATCCACATAGAAGTGCCTTGATGCAAATCAACATCAGGGCTGCCAGTTACTTGCTAGTACAGCTAAATCAGGGTCTGAGTGCTTAACAGGTGTTTTTACCCACCCCCCACCCCCCGGCCACACATACATGTTTTTTCCTCACCAGACTTGCAAAGGAGAAGCGGTTGTTTTTTTGTCGGGGGGGGGGGTGTTGTTTAAAGCAGCTCATTAAAATTATCTCACTGGCATTGCAATGGCATGTTGTTTTCATGCAGTGCTTGTTCCTTATGCGCTGGGTGTGATGCATGTGTGAAGCTAGTCTCCGAAACCATCCACGCTAACCACAAATTTACAAAAGCCTTCCAATGTTACTTCTCCTTTTCTTCAGACTAATGCATGCATCGAAAGATGGGTTTATTGTGTGCTGTCGAATATGAGATTTGTAATGGTTTAGTGATGTGCGTTTGTTTTTTTATTTCTTCATTTATTTGTATTTTAGAACACAGCTCTAGATAAAGAAAGACAAATTTTCTGCAACAAGCGCTGTCAGGACTCTGGCCAAGCTGCTGTGGATCAAACCACTATGATAAATGCTGCAGCTCGTGATCTTCCTGTGGTCGGGCTCAAAACTTTATTTCCTGCTGCTTCTGAGCCACTCCAACTCTCTACGCACTCTGTCTCATCATGTCATGATGATACTGCAGGATTTTGAGACAAACTCTACTGAAGTCCATTGCTAGGTCAGGAATTTATCCACTACTATTCACATGCCCTCACTACTGTAGTTTGTTCACATCCGTCTGAAAGAGAGGTAGGTAGTATGTACGTTAGCTTTTAGTACTTTGACCATTATATTTGGGCTTTATTTTCCCCCCCAAAAAATAATAATAATTAGTGTTAAATATAATTTTGAACATTTTGGGATGTGAATGAATTGATCTACTCTCGTGGTAATCACATGTTGATATACAAACTTCTACATAGGAAGAACCACTAAAAGGCCTTGCCCACCAAACTCTGGTCTTTATAATATAAAATTGCCAGGGGTCAACAATTGAAAAGCTGTAATTTGTTTGTGTGACCTTACAAAGTTCAGTTCCAGAGTTATTCTGGAAAGGCAAGACTGGTCCTAGTGGGCAATCTACAATACTGAAAGACAACCTGAGTGAATGTGTGCAGGGTGAGGGGACTTGTTTTCAAAATATTGAAACTAAAGTTTAGAAAACATGAACTTAAACTGTATGGCATTGAATACGAAAGTAACGCAATCATGGGGCAAATCATTTTTCTCCCATTATTTTTTTGGTATGAAGACTGCAGCCAACAAAGCATTTTTAAGCCGTTGTTGTTGGTTCTGCACCAATTCCCTCCTGGCATTGATAAACACTACCACAAATTGTCTGGAATAGAACGCTGCTGCATGTCGCATTACCTAAATGGAGCCATATATTCAAAGCAAGCCAACTAAAACAATGATCTACTTGGCCAACGACACAGAATACTTTGGCCATTTTATTTTTTTCATTAGCCCACTCTGTATAACTTCAGGAAAAGCGGAACTATTTGGGAGCAGTTATGCTAAATGTGCAGTCAAGGTAGATGGATCTTTTATCTTAATGATCTTTTATCTTAATGCTTGTTTCAATATTGTATGTACTCTTGCTTACTTCCCTTTTGCTCCTTTTTAACAATTCTGAATCATTTTCTATTAGCCTTTACCTTAGAACTGTAAGATCTGCAATAAACATTCTTGAAAAGAGCACTGGCAATTTTTCTTTTAGAAAGTCTATCCGATGTGTGTGTTAAACTTGATTTCCTTTTGTCTTGCATGCCATTTACATTATCGGAACAGAGGCTTTGAAATTAGACTGGGCCTTCTTCTGTACACTCAGATTGAGGTTGCAATCATATGCATCCTTACCTGGGAGAAAGCCCCAGTCCAGTGTGAACCGCTTCCAAGTCACTGCTACTGCCATCCAGGAGCTTTTCGAAATTTAATGTGAGTACTGCAGTAGCAATTTTTTTTTTAAAAAGCCTTTCTTCATAGAACTGAACACACTTACCCAAGTTTTTTTTTCTTAGCAAAAAAGAAGAGATTCATTACACATAAATTACAAATGCCTTTTTATTATTATTTTTCTAAACTGAGTTTTCCCCTTTCAGATCTTTTACCTTAAAGAGAGAGTAGTTGAAATGCTAGAAAAAAAACAACAATGTGAACTGCTTCAAGTTAGCAGCTGAAGAAAATTATATACCAATATAGATATGGAATGTAAGTTTCAAATCTTAATAAAGCACAACATACAAAGTAATTTATGCAATACAGACCTACAAAACAATACAATCCCTTTCACAAATATTTTCACAGAATTCTGCACAGCAATCTTGTAGAAAAAGTAGAATTTATGCAACACCAAAATAACATTGTTCCTTAGTATAAATTTTTAATTCATTACCTAAGAGGCGGGGGCTATTCTGTGATTTTCAACATGATTGGACAAGGACTGATGCAAACATGCCTCATTTTCGTATATGGTGTTGGGTATGGCTTGTGCTACACTGCTCTCACAAGCCATGTTACAATGGAAATTAAAGCTTTTGCCACCAGAGATTCTGTAGGCAGAGCTGGAATTATCTTCTGCTTGCAGCCTAGTAGTGCTTATAGGCAGCTAGCAGAAGTGTACTTTAAGATCTCCACATGATTTTAAAAGTAATGCAGTTTGCTAATAGAGGATACCTCAGTTTTGAGGAACAAGCCACATTTTGGATATGCATTAAAAGGAAGAGGAGGAGGAAAACGTATAGATTTGCATTTCATATAACAACTCTATTGCTGATTTCTTTTTCAACTGCACAACAAAAACAGCAAACTTTAAAAAAAAAATCAAAAAACTAATTTTAGAAGCATGCTTGATCATTGATGGAAACAAAATTACATTTATCATAATTTAAATATTCTCGATTCCCAGAAATTCAGTGCTTGAAATAGTATAATCATTGGAAAGGTACAAGAGACAAAATGTGGTGTGGGTTAGCCCAGTTTAAAACACCAGTATTATAACCAACTTACAGTATTATAACCAGCTTCCACTGTTAATCAAATATTCCTCAATATTATAAAGATTTACATGAGAAACATGTTTCATAATATAGCTAGTACAAGAATTTTAGCCATCTTAATTAGGTCTCTCCCCCCATACATGGATCAAAATAGACTTACTATGACTAAAAATATAGATTTTCTTTTTAAGCTACAGAACCCCAGCAGCCATTTTCTGCTTCTTTTCCCTTCCCCCACAAAAAAGTCAAGCAAAGTCTACAAAAATAGCAATTAGCTTTAAAAAATAGCGTCTCCCAGCAAATTTTAAGTTACATTCAGATGTTATATTAATTATTTATAAGAACGGAGGCTCTGGCAAGCTACCCAAGCGAGACTCCTATGCTTCAAGTCTCCATTTAGCAGTAGGCCTACCTATGCCATCCGGCAAGTTTCAACATCAGTACCTAGTCTGGTATTCATGATGCCACCTGTTGAAATCGTTGTAGAAAAGCACTATGCTGCCAGAAGCCATGCCTGTCATTATACACCTATGAAGAAAAGACAGAAGAAAATTGAGGGGGGGGGAGCCACATTTAGCCACACGCCTGCTTAGCTGAATGATGGCAAAGAATGACTGGAACGTACGCAGATTGCCACTGGGTATCTGTCAGTGTACACCGCTGGGATGAGTGGGAGAAAAGGCTTCAGACAAAGAAGCACACTCTACCTTGGCACTGGTTTGAGTTGGGTTGGGAAACCTGTGCAACTCCCATCATCCCTCACCCTTGGCCATCCTGCCTGGGGCTGATGGGGATTGGAGTTGAACATCTGGAGGGCACCATCTTGGCCACCCCAGCTGTAATGGAACTAAACCTCTTATCTGTACAACATTAGCCAACAGAATGGCATGGATCACTCATTTCTTCTAATGGGGATAGTTGTTCCAGCAGTGGGAGAGCTGGGAAGCAGAGCTCACTCCAGCTGTTAAAAGGCTAGCTCCGTGAGGCCTACTGTCATCTGGAGGAAGGCATTCCATCGGACTGCCCTGGTGGAACGTGTCAAATCTGAACTAGAAGATCTACAAAGCAAATTTATGAGGCAGATACTGGAGCTTTCACCTGGGACTCTGTCGGCTCATCGTAGAGGTGAGTTGGGTCTCTCGATAGCAACCACAATTGATCTAAACTATGCTAGATACTTTCAAAGACCAAATGCTTTTGAGGACCATATTCTCATGAAGCTGTGCTGGTTGGAACAACTAAGAACAGGAGGCTGGGCACAAAAGTGTCAAGATTATAGCTTACAATCTTTGAATGGGGAAATATCTATTCTTTAGTTCAGGATCTTAGAAACTGAATCTTCAACCATGACGCCAACCAAGACAGAGCATCCATTATCGCTGCCCGTTACTCTATTTGGTACCCTCAAATTAAGTGCAACCACTCAAGACCTCACTATTTTGAGACTTTTCCAGAGTTATGCAGGGCCTTTGTTGAACTTAAGTTTCAACAGATGACCTCAGCATACTTAGAGAGGAGATACTTTGGAATAGCACAAATGGAACAGAAAAGCATTTATGGATGCAGTCAGGTTGGATAACATGCCCTATTTGTTGATTTGCCCTTTACATACAGTGCCCAGAGAATTATCTATTTTTTTTATATTGTAATTGTAATTTATTATTTGTACCCCGCCCATCTGGCCGGGTTTCCCCAGCCACTCTGGGTGGCTTACAACAAAGATTAAAAATACATTAAAATGTCACACATTAAAAACTTCCCTTTTTATATATCCTATTCTCTATTGGTTCTCAGATTGATCCTCCTAGTTGAACTCTTAGCTGAAAACACCTACAAATCTGGTAGACAAATTTTCCAGTTATGTTAATGTACTGTAATTTTTAAAAAATGTTGTAAATTATAGACTTATGTTGTGTGATTTTAGTGGAATGTCTTGTTTTTTGCCCTTTGTAAGGCCTCTGGCTATATACAATAAATTGAACTGAATGGGCTGCCTCAGAGAGAGAGAGATGGGAAGAAGGTCTCATTTCATCAGCTTTTCATCAAGTACCTGCATTCCCTGAACTGTGTCACATGGTCATTCTAGGAACAACTCTTTAGAAATTGGTTCCTGGGTTTTTATTTCTATTTTCCTCTTCCCTCCCTGTCCCTTTCCCCCAATTTGTTGTGCTGTTTTGGGGTTTTCTTTTCTTCCTAAGACTGTTTTGATTGTATGTAAGCTGCTCTGGGAGCCTTTTCGGCTGAAAAACAGGGTACAAATGCACTAAATAAATTAGTAAGTCTTTTTGCTTTCTCGGTGTTACTTTTTATCATTATGGATCCTTTTCTGCTATATAAGATCTGTGCTGAATGAAGCCACTACAAAGTGGTATCAATAGCAAATAACTCAAAACGAACTGACTCACCTTTGGTCATAGGAAAGAGCCATGGATCGGATTCCAGCATCACAACCAGGATAGGCAAAAAGTTGCTTGAGGTCACACACTTGCCACACCATAACAACCCCATTGTCGCCTCCTGTAAGGAGGTACTGTCCATCCCGGCTCAGCTGAATTGCCTAGAAAAAGAAAAGGCAAGACTTCTGTTAAAAGAACAACTTTAGTCATTCCATTCTTTCTTCCATGTGTTAATTATCATCCAACAAGGCTGAATGCTTTCATTACAAGTGCAGGATTTGCAAATGCATATACAGACGGAGAGTAGATAAAACACATAATACCATGATCACAACCTTTCCATTAATTGTTCCAAAATATACAAGTCAATATTTTTGTAATTATTGCTTATTTGGACAGTGAGGACTTAACTCAAACTTGCAGACAATGGCAGCATTTATTTTCTTATAAGCCATATTACATGCTATAAAATAAAATTCACAGAGTAACTTTTACTGTCCCCTGGTTATAGCTGGGAGTGCTGAATGGAAAACCTTCAACATTTTAACTGGAGGCTGAAAGTTGCTATTGATAATCTTTTAACATATTTGCTTGTTAAATTATGGGTGCATTATGTGGGCACAATGTCAACACATAGTTTCAAGGCCAAACTGCAAAGGTTATTGCATGGGAAACTGCTGCACTCTTTCAGAGGACTCCGTCTCCTCAAGTTACACAGCATAGTCATTCCAGCCAGCAACATAACCTTGCCTGTCTCGTATCTCTCTGCAAGCAGATGGGAATAATCAGAGAGAGCTAAAAGAAGCAGCGTTATCTGCACCATTTCAGGAGCTACGCTGGCATAGGTTTCTCCTTCATCATGCCATTCTCTTTTGGTAGATGTCAGCCCCGCCAGTCGAGTACTAATGCCTCACACTCATACATGGGAGCACCTCATGCTCTGTTAAGAATCTATTTCCTTGGGATATGAGTTGAAAATCACAGTCAGAAGGAACCATGAGGGTCATCTAGTCCAACCACCTGCGATGCAGGAATCTTCTGTTCAATGTGGGGCTCAAACCCACAACTCTGAGTCTCATGCTCTACTGACTGAACTATACATCATGCATCATCTTATTTTGTATGTCGCCTTCCCATAGTTCAAACCATGTTCAAGGTGGCTTCCAACATGAAAATCACATAAGTACAAAGCAAAAAGTTTGTATTGGGTAGTAAAATTACTACCCAAAGTAGTTATAAACAATACATAAAATATCAA